TATATATATATATATATATATAGAGAGAGAGAGAGAGAGAGAGAGATTAATCTGGCCTACTAAGCATCCACCCACTCCATCAAATGCTATAAACTATTCTCATGTACAAGTCTTTTTGATTGAAAACATTGTTTCACTTCATTGAAAAAAAAGAAAATGATAACTCCCATAATCAAAAAGATCATATAGTTATCAATCATGTAATAAAAAATATTTTTTTTATGAATTATAATTTACTGAATATTTTTACATAAATTATAATTCATATTGCAAAGAAAGAATCTTTCTTATGAAGGAAGTATTCATTCACTGTTTTGGATTGCCTAAAGCTCTCAATAAAGTGGAATAAAGGCAGTGTGTGGAAACTGTAACCGCTGGCTTTTTGTATGGGACAGCTTGTTGATGGCTTGACCATGCTTATCTCCACCTCCTTAAGCTTTCTTTGGGCTCCTAAAGGTATAACTTGCTCTCCAATCCTCTCCTTGTTGTTCCCTGTTAAGCTTAGCTTGCCTTTCCCATGCCCACACTGCCTCTTTGGCTCTTCCTATAAGAGTTGTCTTGATCCTTCTCTCCAGCCTTCAGCCTCCTGCATCCATCATCACCAAATTCTCTTGAGTTTTATGAGAGGGTGGAAGGTCAGAGATGGTTAAGCTGACGTTGGTGGGCAGGTTGAGAGATGGCATGCCCTTGTCTCAGACACCAGCCCACTTGATCGAAGACAATGAGGTATTCTTAGCATCTTACAGGCAGAAGGCAGAGCTTGTGCTTAGGGAGATCTCAGCAGGAGCTTTGACAAAGCCCAAGATGACCATCCTCGTTGATCACTGCTGTTTCCAGTAAGTTTCATCTTTTGAATGGTTATAGAAAGCAGAACAGGAGAGAGTGAGGTTGCATGAAAGACTCATCTGATGATGACATGATCATAGGAGAGCACAAGTATGGTGTTTCTTTGATCTCCTGACCCCTAGTTTCTTCGTGCATAAATTGGCATCCAGCTATCTCATTGGAAATGGAACTTGCTGCATTGCTCTCTGTGATGCCTGGTATCCAAGGAAGCTGGCATTTCACTATCTGCAGGATCTCCATGAGGAACTTGAGAAGGTAGACAACAGAATTGTAGAGTCATTCTTGGAGCCATATTCGTTCAAAAGATTTGGTAACTCATTTTGTTTGAATGATTTTTACCTAACACATTGAGTTTTTTCTGCTTAATTTGATACTCTGGTAAACATCATGCCTTGTAGATTATGTCATTGGCAATATCAGAAACCGGTATTTGGACACGAGAACTCAGGCAAATCTATATAAGCTGAATTCTGATCGCAGAAACTATGTCGATATCCCCACACAAGAGTTCTCTAACATACTGAGGAACTGTCAAACATCAGGTGAAATCCCCAAGTTTGTTTTCTTTTATGTGGAAGATGTAGAATATAGTTTGTGTAGAGATTAGAACTGTTTGTGTAAATTGCAGGAACTGATGTGGGAACATCTGCTACCATCACCCATGCACAAGCTACAATTTGGAGCTCACATCTTCTTGAGGTCAGTATGAAAGCAGTTGCCTGAGGCAATTTTGTGCAGCAAAAACACAGCATCAGAAAGAGAACCTTTATTTGTCTTGGCACAAGCAGGTGATTGCCTTGAAATGGACTCCAATCACAATTCTTGTGATGGTAGCTGCAATCCTCTTGTGGACTGGTGTTGTCCTGAATGAGTATAACACACTGACAGCATGGTGATATCCAAGAACTAAGGGAGTGGAGACAGCAACTGGTATGATTCAAAGAAGCACTACCAATTCGGCCATCAGCGGATGCAAAAGTGATGACTTTGATGTAATTCACATTGATGATCGATCTACTTGTGAATTCTGCCCCGAGAGACTTGAATTCATTCAAGATATCAAAATACCAGAAGATTTTCACCTTCAAATGAATTATGAATTGGTGATCTAAATGATGAAAACCAAAAGAAGAGAATTCGTAAATCTGGAAGTTCTTCTAAACAAGTCCATACTAATTAGTTAAGTACACAAAGAATTGTGTTACAAATACTAGATTCTATGTAACCTCATTCTGCCAATTAGGCAACTGATGTTAAAAAATTATTTGTTCATTTCCTTCTGCAATGATGCAATTCATGTAGAATGATTGTTTCATATGAATTCATGTCTTGAAGAGTTGACATTATGCCGCTGAGTTCTTTCAAGTGTAGGTAGATTTCCAAGCTCACATCAATTGCTAAGAAGATCATGCACTGAGTCTAGTTACCAAACAATCTTAGCAATGCTTTATCAAGAACGATTGTGTACTATAACCTTGATTAATCCTAATATGTTGCTTGTTGATTTCAAGAATTCAAGCCAGAATTCTGTCACAGAGAACATTTTCACAGGCATGATTTTATGTTTGTGATTTAATGAAATTGAGTGTAGTTAACTGAGATGCCTGCACAATGCTCATAAGCATTCTACATTTTTCTCCAAATCTTTCCTATGAACTTTTTGATTCATGACATCATAATTTTGAGTATGGACTAGCAATTGATTTCATGAATTGTTACAATTTGTCGATGAAGAAGATAACTTGTGCCTTCCGTCATGGTGCGGAGAAGAGCTCAACAAGCCACGAAGGGCCAAGAACACGAATTATATGAGCAACAACAATAAGGCATAATGTCTCAATCTAGATTGATTACATGATTGAGCTTTATACAAAGCAATGTCTCAAACAAGTCATTAAAGAACTTATTACATGAATTGTGGGACTAAAAGTTATTTAGCTATTGCATTTCAGTCATACTCTCATTGTCTTTAGTAAATAACACTGAATTTGAAGGAATGAGAACCATCAATGTTTACCATCAGCTCAAACTCTCATTCAAACTGCCCACAAGTGTTGGTGAATCTGAAACCATTTGGAACGATGACATTATTTCCATACTGTGCATCGACTTGTGAAGCTGTGTAGAAATTATTGCAGTGCCACTGATTGTTAATTGCATCATCCAAGTTGAACAAGCTGTCCCAGTTGGCCTGCTCAAATGACAAGAAATCAGCAAATAAAACCTTGGGGAAGTGATCTGCTGCTGTCCTGTTTTGGACACCACCAATGTTTTGACTCACAGATTGGTCATAGTTCTTCAGACATGCTTCAAGTGCCTCAGTATATCCTCTTGCAGCACTTGGAACACCATGATCATTCTCTTCTTTGTGCATTGTTAGCCTTTGGATGGTCAGATTAAGAGCTGAGCTTGCTGAGCTAGAGGTGTGTAGTTCTTGAGGCTTTGTGATCTTCTTCTTCATGTAGGAGTTCCAGTGGTTCTTAACTTCATTGTCTGTTCTTCCAGGTAGTTGCATTGCTATTTGTGACCACCTGTAACAAAATAATGCATATGTATCATCTATTTTTTGCTATTTTTTTCTAGTGATCAGTGGTCAGATAAAAATGTGAAACTAAATATTCATGAAAGATTGCAAAATGTTAAATATCATCCTTCGGAAGATGATTGATTTCATTGGAAGAGTTTGTGGTGGTTCTTTATGACATTAAAATTGACAACAAGATTTCGTCGAAATCAGATCCAAATTGTTCGTTACAGCTATGAAGTATAGAATGATATATGCATGCCAAACTTGGATACTACAAGTTTTAATATAGTATTTCCATCTAACAATTATTTCCTTGTATGTTTTGCATTATCTAACCCATGAAATCCATTTAAACTGCCAATATGGAATGTCAAATAGGGGTATTTTTGTTATTGGATCAGAATTCAGATGTTGATGTTGAATTGGCATATTCAAAATCTAACTTTTGGTTCAATCATTTTGCAGATATCTGTGTTGTTTACTTCATTCTAACTGCTAAGAGTAAACAATTTGGAAATCTGAAAAATAGCTTACTTGTTCCCCAACTTGGACTGAAGCTTCACGATGGTCTCCTCCTCCTCTGGTGAAAAGTTTCCACGTTTTAGACCAGGCCTGAGGTAGTTGATCCATCTCAATCTGCAACTCTTTCCATTTCGCCGCAAGCCTATCAGAATCAAGCAATATAAAAAGGCAGAGAAGAATTTTCTGCAGAGAAACACTACCCATGCAAACAAATCTGAACATGATTTATTTTGTTTCATCAGCATAAGAAGAGTAAAACTTACCTGCAGGAGGCCTTGAGAACCGATCAAGAAGAAGGAAACAAGTCGCAAGAAGTCTTTCTTTCATTTTCAGCAAGATTTAATTATATATGCAGTAATGAAACTGCATATCAGAAATAAGTTACAAAGCTGTAGGTTGTTCTACTTGCTAGCTATTGTTGCATTGCATGACATCGATATCAAAAATATATAGCAGATGATATAAATTGCAAGAAAGATGCAGTCTGTGATGGTTCTTATTAGAGGACACTTGATCGTTTATATCTGGATTAATTCTGATGTATTCTCCTCCACATTCATAGTGCAGATAATGTGTCGTTGTATACTAGTCATTTCTGTACTAAAGTGTGAATCTGAATGCCATTGTTTGTAGAAAGACAGCTTACTCTGCAGATCTTAATTAGACCCGCAGGAAAAGATTACATGTGTGAAGTGTTGAGGCAAAGAAACTGAATGCATTAATGCAAGAGCTCACCAGCTTTGGCAGGAACTTCACTCCAACAGCTGACTCCATGCTGAAGGATTGAATCTCTGAGCTTTTGGTCCTCATCAGGTGACCATAGCCCCTTCCTGTAATCCACCTCTGGCTTCTTGCAGTTCTTAAACTCTGTCCTCATCTTGCAGCTGTCACAAGGCAACCCCAGCCTACCAATTCAGGGGATAGATGATGAGAAGACTCAACTTCGGTCTCTGGTTCTGCATGATGCTCGAACGACAAAGCTTAGGATTTAAAGAGGTAATCACTACTACTTCATATATTTTTTATCCATAGAAAATTAATTTCCTGATCACATTCAATAAACAAATTTATAAAGATGCATTAATGATCAAGGCTTTGCACTGTTTGTTATTGGTCATGATTTTTTATTATCAACCAGAGAGATTGTTTTCACAGGAACCCAAGTTTCAGTAGAGTCCTGATTAAAATTTTGCATGAACTCAGCCAATTGTATCAAAAGGTTGAAAATAAGCAAGCTGTTTTCAAAGTAAGACCAAATTTATTAAAAACCGAGGTCTTTAAGTTTATCATCAATCATTCTGCAGCATCTGACTCTTTGATGTGCCAGTTTAACTACAGTTGAAAGCTTGCATTTTTGTGTTAGTTCCAAACATGGAACATCAACTCATTAATTAACTCAGAACTCATCTCTCTGACTTTCTTCTCTTCTTTCTCATCTTCTGTAGTCCAAGCAAAGTTCCATGGCAAGTCCAAATCCTCGAGTCCTCCGAACTTACCATATCAGCTTAATTTACACATGCAATTTAGATAGGTATTGTTAAATTGATGACAATGCTTAATTTCCACAAATAGGAATGACTACTAGAAATTTGGCTTTCTCTCTCACTGTGAACTCTTATACCTTTAATATAAATAAAAAATTAGGATCCCCCTCTCATGTTTGCTTCATTTGGTTCTACATTGTAGGCAAGCTAGATTTACCTTCATGGTGCTTAAAGTTCTCATCAACCCAACTTGTCGAATTCTAACTGATGTATCTACATGGATTGGTGAATGAGGTTAATACAAATATGAAACACAAAACTGGGTTTTCTTTATGGCACATAGAATGCTAAGGATGTTGAGGAGTGCTTGTCAATCTTAGTAGGATATGGAAAAGGTTAGGCTTATGTTTAAAGGTTGGTTAAAATACTTAAAGAGTAAGCTGAATCCATTGCAGAATGGCCTGAAACTTCTGAATATAGAATGATACAGAACAGTAAGCTGTCATTTTCCTTGGCCAATTCACTGGCTGGGATTTCATCCTCAGTGTGATAAAGAAAACTCCCAATAAAAGGGAATAATCTTCATTAATTATCTCTACATGTTACTTCATGAAGCTTCACCTAGTCCAGCTTCCACATGCTTGGTATGTATTAAAGGTCAACAACCAGCCATTAATTGTATCAAAGCTGACCAAGAATAATCTTACTGTATCATCATAAAAAAAGAAAGAAATATGTAACTTTCCTGTTGGCATCCATAACACTAAATTAAACATTATTGGTCAATAGTTTCCATGATTGGGGACTGGTAATTAAGAACAGATATGAAGGTTAGGCATGGCTACCCAAGTGGGTTGTACAAGACCTAATCTACAGAACATGTTTCTTCCCCAGTTGATGACTCAAACTAGTGATGCAGGAATCTTGTGGACAAGCCAAGTGGTATCTAAATACTGTTAGACATCTACTACCTCTATCATTTGGTGAATCTAAAACAAAATGTTTATTGCAGTATTACTGAAGCATGGACAAACTGAGTACTTCAAGTAATTAAGAATTCAATATTGTTATATTGACTTCAAGGAAATGTGCAAATCTTTTTTTGTGGACAAAATACCAGCTCCTTCACAAAATGAATCTGTACTATCAACTAATCCCTTTGACATTTGAATCATCAAGCCTTCTAAGAAATTGTTTATTCTTTCACTCAGTCATGAAATGCTGTGTTAATAAAGTGAATAAAATTATGTGAATTGAGAAGGATTGGGTCTTCTGATTGATTACTTTATTGATTTCTGCCATTCTTAGTTTAGCTAATAGTGGCAGAGAAAAGGTCAACACTTGATGAAGATTCCTCAAGCATCAGAAGCTCTCTTTAGAAGAAAAAAGAAAAATATCCTTCATTATAATGAAGTAAAAGGCAATTGATTGGCCGTTCCGAAAAGATCATTAACATACATTAAATAACCTATATCATGCTCCAATTTATGTAATGTTGCTCTGACCAATCCAAATGTTTCACTAGAGACAGATTTAATTTTTTTTTGTCTTGATTAACAATAAATTGAAAATATTATTGTGATTGATTGTTGGATGTTGGTCAATGATTCATGTGGATAATATTCCATGCATATCCCTCTATGGACAATTATTTTCATATTTATCCCTCTCAATGTGAGATATTCAAAAATTCATTTAATTTAAATTATTTTCTTTTTTAATTTTTTGAATTTTTACTTTCATTTCTTAAGGCATATATTTTATTCTTAAATTCTTAACTCGCATCCCTTAGGTTCATACTAACATCTACATTTCTATTCATACGATGAATAATGTAATGGGCATTGTATCCAAAATATGACAGATAACAATCATTATTGGTAAAATAACAAATAAAATAAATCACTAATAGCTCTATGATGTGAGTCAAAATTCTTAATCTCGATTAACAAAAACCAAAAATATTATTGTGATTGATTGATGGAAGAAGACTTGTCAATGATTCATATTGACATAATTACGTAAATACCCATCAAAGTTCAGTTATTTTAATATTCACTCCTTTGAATATGAAATATCGATATATTATTTCGATTTAATTTACCAACTATCACTCTCATTTCCTAAACGCATATAACCAATTCTTATGTTCTTATATGACATACCGATAATTTAGATTAATGTAATATGTTTTGTATAAAAAATATTATATATCATTATCTTTTTTGGTCCACAAACAACAAAACACATGGCATTGTTGAATGGTAAAATACGTTAAAAAATGAAATGAAATTAATAATACTTTAACATAAACAATACCTAAAGGGGCGTTGCGAGAATCGAACTCGCGACCTCTCGCACCCAAAGCGAGAATCATACCACTAGACCAAACGCCCATTTCATGATTATGGGTAAAATGTATTATAATTTATAATTAATTATCTATTTAGCTTAATTTTTCTAGAGAAAATATTAGTAGTTGGTTTAGTAAAAGGGATTACACCTTAAATATTAATTTGGTGATAATATACCAAATTCTCTTATTAAAGATTGAGCTTTTAAAATCTTATTCGACATAGAAAGGTCAATTGATTTAGTAAAGACTTTGAATTATCATCAATATATATATATATGTTAGATTATTACAATAGATGCTTAAAAGTTAAAAGTAGTGAGAGAAGTATCTATAATTAGGATATACAATATGTAATACTATAAATCCACTTACATATAAGGTTTTGATTAAACTGATGATGTTCCTATTATAATTTGAAAGAATGACCTAAGATACTAATACTAACATATCATAACCTTCATAATTTTAGAATCATAATGTATGATGACTTATTACCACCGATTAAAATAGGTAATTTATTCTCTCTCACACTTGAGAGTTTTTTTTTTTTTTTTATACGTGATAAGATCATTTAGTCTCATATTGATTGAGAAGTATGGAAATCAAAGACTCATAAGTTTATGAACTTCAAAATAATAAAATTATATAGGTATCTCGATCGTCGAAAATAGATAATTCATTGCTAACCTATGGGCTACACCAATGGTTGATCAACTAAATGATTGGCTCTCCTACGGGAGAGAGCACTAATAAAGTTATTTAGTTCCATATTGATTAAGTAATCTATGCCTATCACCTAAAATAGATAATTAGAGTTGATAATTTTATTTTTATTCTATTTTAATCTATCATATACTAACTTTATTATAAATATATTTTTGTTGGGTTAGCCTAAAAAGGTTAATCGCTCATATTTACTAGTCGATTGAGATAGTCATATATAATGATAAATCATGATTATATTATTAAAAGCTTATGGTAAGAATGAGTTTCATTCTTGCTCCGAAAATAAATTTTTGTGTTAGAAAGCATATAACTTAGGTCATTGGAATCAATTTATGATCGTATAGTTTCAAATTAATTTTGTAAAACTTCCACATATTTTCCTTTGGATCGAGCTAACATATGTTATGGTCATTTATTTTATCTAAAAAATTTCAGTCCTAAAAATTGTACCAAAGATTTTCATTTCATACGTCTCATCCCATATGTGCACAGTACCAAAAAAATAATTCATAAAATTTAAATTTTACTATTATCCCTGAACGAAAAGGAGTTGATATTTTGATAAAGAAATCTCTAGCTAGCCTTCCCTAAGATATTTTTCCTTAACACCAATCGTAAATCGTATTAGTGCTTGATGAAAATGATACCTCGAAACAATTTTTTTTATCATCATTGCCTTGTATTTTTAGGAATTAATCACTTCAATAATTTTTAATCGTTAAATAGGTGCTCAAAGACGATATACATAAATGTATGCGATTGGCAACAATTAAGACTGTATATTTGAAATATTTTTGAAAAATTACTTATGATGGGATGGAATTCGTTATTTATCATTTTAAAAATAATTAATCTCACAACTTATTTATTTTGGATGAAACGAATAATTCCACGTGTCACGGCCGGTCCCATTTCCATCAGCAACAACATTTCAGATGATCCCTCCACGTCGGTGTTCGTTTCATTACCTTAATTCCACTAACGACGAACACCCGGCCGAAACACCTGCTTTGTCACTGGGAATAAAGTGGGTCCCGTGTTTTGAAGCCATCTACGCTCCAGTACAAAGCAGGTACTAATGGGGTAATAGAAGCGAAGGTGGAGAATATGCTTTCTAAATTAATTCCTCCAACTAAAAATACCGCAAAATCCCGCGTCTCTAATAGCTGACACTTTTGGGTTTCTCGGTCGCTGTCCTCGTTGTTGGCAAAGAGGCGAACCCTCGCTGCTCCTCCTGCTCTTCCACTCTCGAGGGTTTCTGGGTGGATTCGTCTCGGGCTTCTTCGATTGGTCCGGCGACGTTGAGGTCACCGGTTTCTAGGGTTCGTTTGGAAGAAGAATCGCTCATCCGATGCTTTAATTTTGATCCCCTTTCTCCAATTTCGCATCGTTCTTCGATTTGGACATGGGAGATTGGCTGGAGCTCTGCCAGGCCGTGATCATCGGCCTCGTCTGCTCCTTTCTCATAGCGAAGCTCATCTCCGTTGCCATCTCCTTCAAGGAGGACAACCTCAGGGTCGTGCGCGAGCATGAACTGACCTCCCACACCCCGGGCGACGGTGGGCCTTCGTTGCTTGATGTTTCGGAGAAGGCGGGAGAAGTAACGGCGCTCTTGGGCAAGGAGAAGGAGAGTCTTTTGGATGACGACAGTGATTGGGAAGGGATCGAGAGCACGGAATTGGATGAAACCTTCAGTGCTGCCACAGCTTTTGTCGCTGCAACGGCTGCTGACAAGAATTCTGCGAAGGTTTCAAATGATGTGCAGCTGCTGTTGTATGGGCTGTACAAGATTGCAACCGAGGGGCCATGCACTGTGCCTCAGCCATCTGCGCTAAAGATGACTGCTCGTGCGAAGTGGTATGTACTGGGGATATAGTCTATTGGATTCAAGAAATTGTCGCTAGCATTTCCCTTCCAAATTGGGCTTGCTTGTGTGCCATCATACACGATGTAAATTAAGTATGCTAATTTGCTCAAAGCACATGATCCTAGTTAGCTGCGGTGAACGGCAAAAAAGGAATTATCACTGCCACGTAAAAAAATATGGATAATAGAGTTTAGTCAGATGTTTTAAATTTTATTGCATCCAGATCACTCTTCGAAGTTACTAGGATTCTGAATACGGTCTGATTTTTTTAATCAAATCCAAAAATTATCATCCAAAGCTTGTAGAATTTGTATAGCCACAACGGGTTATATCTGTCACTTCAAAGGCAGTTGCCTTGCATTTTTCATAAGCCTTGATTTTGCAAAATTGAGGTACATTCGGTCCTCATACTACCAACAGTTAAGATATTATTGTCAGCTCCAGAACTATTGCTGAACTCATCGATCATGCTTCATTTTTTTGAAATGTTAGACTCTTAAGCCTTTTTTTCTTCTGTACTCATTGATTTTTCTGACACTTAATTGATACAAAAAATCTTGGTGATATCTTGTAAGGAATGCTTGGCAGAGATTGGGTACTATGCCCCCAGAAGAAGCTATGCAGATGTACATCATGATTATCAGTGACCTATACCCTTCTTGGGCAGATGGTTCCACCAAGGCAAGTTCTTAATTTTTTAGGTTTTTTCCTCCTGTTGTTGAACTTGAAACTATGTTCTGATAAGTCATGGAATGACAATTACAGAAAAAGAATGACAAAGATACTTTGCCATCTAGTTCAACTGCAAAGGGAACTATGGGGCCAGTTTTTAGCAGCTTTGTGCATGAGGAAGAGTCAGAAACTGATTCGTAAGATTCTTAGTACCCACAGAGGTTTCTGTTGTATTTGATTGATTGTGTGAGATTAGTCTAAGATTCTATTTGCTTTTCTATTATGCCCATTGTTTTTTCTTTTCAGGTTTAAGTTTGATGTATTACATGATTGTAATACAAATGGCCTTGGATAATGCTAGCACTGTCACTTTTTTCTTGTCTTCCTTATTTGTTGCTTAATTTTATCATATTTATATCTTCAAATAATTATGTAACTATATCTTTTCTACTTCTGATAATTTTAATGATAATCTGGCTTAACAGGCTGTAGTCTATCATATTAATTACATTATGCTTTATTACATTGCTATCTTAGAAGGAAAACACATTTGCTAGATCAAAACATGTTTGCTTCTCAGTTGCTTACTCATTCCACCTCTAAGGGAACCACAAGAAGTTTCCATTTAAGTGGGTGAGGGTACTTGAAGGTTCCAGTAAGGTCCTCTCTGATAAACATTATAGGCGGGATCCTCTCTTCTGTGATTTCTGATTTCTGCTAAAGTTTTTGTTAGTTAATTCTTCTTGAACTGATGCTCCATAACCAACCTGATTTTGTCAGGAAAAAAATAAAAAGATTAGAAGTATTCAAGAAGAAGATGACGATGACAGTGATCTAGCGAATTACTAGCTGGTTATTGGAATGGGACATATATGATAACAGTCCAAAATTGGCTCAATTATCCTATGTCGAGTTCTGACCCTTATAGTTGTCGACTTCTTTAGTCATTTGAGTCATACAACAGCACTCATTGTCAGACAATAGAGGGTACAATTTCTTAATAAGAGTTCTTTTATAAGTATGATACCACCATGTCTACTAATATGATATTTTCAAATATTAATTGTAAGTAAAAGAAACACACCATTTCTCCCTCTGGATAAAATCTGAACTTCGTGCTGACCTTCCAGCCTTGATTTCTTTCTTTTTCTTTTTTTTTAAAGCAAGGGAACCTATCTAGAATCAACAACATATGGTTATTTGACAATTTGTTATGTCTTTAGTTGGGATTGCCTAAGGCATGCGGCACCCAAACAATATTCGTTCATAGGGGTTAGCATATACTTTAACCTCATATAGTTTGCAAAGGACCTGCACGGAGAAAGGCGAACGTGCAGGTGTATGTCACTGTCACACACGATAAGGGCAAGATAACTAGGATCATAAGCAACATAAAGCAACCAACTTTTATTAGGCACAAAAGGCTCTTGGAAATGGGTTGAGTGTTTAGGTAACGGTTTGAATAGTCGAACACAAAATGGGGGGGTTCGAAGGCACGTGCATGCCAATATTCACCTAGCACTTTCGTCGAACATAAAGTAGACACACTAAAGTTTTTGCACCACCCCTCAAACATATAATTAAAGCCTCATCCAACCCCACCTAGGCGTTTCAGGGTGCTAAGACAGTTGACGTTTCACACCGTAAGTCAGTCAGCTAGATTTCAGTCCGTGGCATGCGAGAACCTTGTCATTTTAGCTATTTCTCCCTTTGTGCAAAACCACATAACCAGAAATGTTTTTGAGTTTTCCAAAACAAAAACATAAAATAAAAACACTTCCAACGAAGCAAAATGGGGCGTACGGTAATACTTTCTATCCTGTACAATCTGCTTATAAGAAAACACTCGAAAATATAAAAAAACAATGAAAAACAAGAACCGAAAAGCTAATGGACATGCGTCAAACACTTTGACTGCATTGCTCCATAACATTCTCCCCCCACTTGTTCCTTTGACACCCTCATTGAAGCCTTCTTGTATGCTACGAATTGATTAGCCATAACATGCTTCTCAGCTTCTACTGTTGAGTCGTCGATTTCAATCTACCCACTTTGTTGCAACTTGTTACTGAGTTGGTTTAGCTTGGAACACTTCTTGTTGAATCTTTCGGATCTATTGGTCGGCAAGAGAAGAGCCTTCATGTTTGCCTTCAAGCCCCTTAGAGGTGTCACCCTACAAGAGCTTGACTGTTGCTGGGTGGAGCTTCACTAGCGCATGATGTAGAACTTGAAGAGTTTGTGGCACTCTCATGCAAAGTTTGCCCTCGTATCTTTGAAATCTTTACCATCTTCTCCAAGTAGGTCCATGCTACCCACTGGAAGTAACATGATGAGATGATAGTGCTCGGACATATTACCTTCGATGTAGCTGATCACCTGAAGGTGAGGAGCTGATGGTTGCTAACTTCCGAGCACTTTGAAGGGACTTCCAATTGTTGCAAAGTCCACCCCATAACTTGGGTTACTTTGATTGGCGTCACCCAAATTCCTCGGGTTATACTGCTTGTTTCGAGCTGGTTATTTTACTTCGCAACTCTTCCCCATCGTACTTCTAGAGTATTGGAAGTGTTGCTTGAATCTGAGTTAGGTTTTGCCCTTGTAGAATGCTTCTCTGATAGATTTGGTCGTGCCTTTGTGATCGTGAACTCCCCATTTGCAGTTGGAACAGTATTAGTCCATCCAGAGCACAAGTTTGGTCACTGCTTGGAATGGTCAGCATGGTTTATAATATAATATTGAGAGACTTGCTGGTGTTAGGATGTAAGAGACGAGGCAAGGATCAATGTTTACATCACTAAAAGGAAGGGACCAATACTAAAATAGCACCCCAAAACAAATAGTGTGTAATGACATTATCACTGCAAAGCTAAATTAATACCCTGTATTTCTTTACATCACTAAAATTGTCATATTGTGCTGAACATAATTGTATGGTACACATTGCATACTGTTTCATCCATGCCATGATTATGTCAGATTTGTTCCTGTGGGTAATGCATGAGGCAGTATACCTTGGAGCATTTCTCATAATACACTAGCATAACAATCCTTGTCATGTGGGCCAACTAGATTACTGAAACATCCTTGTTATCAGTTGAAGTACTCTTTTAGCAAATGTATTCTTTTTAAGTTTTATTTTATAAATAGCAGTCTAATTTTCTTGTATTTGTCTTCAGAAAGTTGGAACCAATACATGGGTTTGCTAGAGATGGAGAAGCTGATGCGCTATTGGCTCTTATTGCTAATGGTGCTTTGGTGAATTCTAGAGGTTTGTGTTTGGTGTTAAATATCTTGTTTCATAATGTTGTCATGCTTCTGGACTTTCTTGATTGACATAACTGGTTCACCTAACTTTAGACTGTCGTAGCGATATTCAACAAATAATTTAGGTGGATTTTGATCGATTTCTCAGTAGTTCTTGATTGACTTATTTGGTTCACATGTTTTGTCTGTGCTTGTTGCAGATAGTGAAGGGAGGACTCCACTGCACTGGGCTGTAGATCGTGGACATTTTAGGGTTGTGGAAATCCTTCTTAACAAGGATGCAGATGTGAATGCTAAGGTTTATACCCATCTTTTTATGTCCTAGATATATTGCAGATGTGGTAGTCCTGTGCATGATCTTAGTTGTCACCCTGTGCATCATTCAGTGCTTCACTCTACACACTCATTGGATAAATATGCTGGCAATTGAAACCTAATATCTAAGACAGAAAACTGAATTTCACAGTTGTTCTAATAGAGGGTGAACCTTGGGTGACTAAGGTTGAGTCATGAAAATATTTTCTCTATTTGTAGAGGTGAAACTGCATATTGGTTCTAGCCAGATCCTGTATTGACAAGAGTTTCAAGCATAACTCATTTACAAGATAGAAATTTTTTTTTTGTCATGGTAGCTTATTTCTATAGCTTTAGTTTTGATGGCTAGATACTCTTTGCATCTTGAGATCATATTCTTTCATTCTTATAAAGTCATAAGCATCACAAATCCTCACATGCGTGACATTATTTATTTGCCTTAAATTATTATGTCCTCCACATTATAATATTTAGGGAAATTAATTAAGATCAGCCACAATTATGTTAAAAGCAGCCATACAAAATCTAAGAAAACTTAGATATAAATGTATAATCTGCATGTATGGGTGTTTAGTGTTAAGTCTGCTATACATTATCTTCTGTTGTTTGGTAAGGAAGGTCAGCAAAGTTTTAATATCTCAAGTGGAACCGGATATTGATTTATTTCGGTCTACATGGCATCTAAGATTTATCAATATGGAAAGTGCTAGTCGTGAATCATATGCTGGTATGTGACACGACACACAGGATTTGGTTTCAATATGGGTAGTACAATTTAGAAATCGCAAGGATTTTGGTAAAAGAAATATGTTATGTGGATGTTGTCAGTTTTTTACAGTGTATCTTGGCTGACATGCTAAATATTCTGATTTATGTGTTTTTTTTTAACAAGGAATATAGTTTATTTTGAGCAGGATTCTAGTTGTCTTATCTCAAGTTGAGATCCTAGTTGTAACAAAGAATGACAATTTATTCTCGGGTGCTAGCAGTCTTTTGATCTTTTATGCTAGTAGAGGACTGACTGTTTGTTTAGGCATGATATAAAGTTAAATCATCGTGACTTAGGCCTCATAGTTCCAAGGTGTAGAAAAAGCCACTTTTCATTCTCAGAGCAAGGTTGCATACAGATTGACCCTTCCATGAGCCCTCTATGGCGGGAACCTAGTGCATTTGGTGGCCCCTCTTTTTTTGCTGACACATGAAATGCTTTGTATATAATCCATGTGTTGATTCCTTTGTATAATATCTGAAAAAGCTTATCATATCTGATGTTGAACTTTGGGTAGTCAACGATGCGGTTTGACATTCTGTCCTATAGGAAGTGTTTATGAGTGGAAAACTTGCTATCTCTGATTTGTGCTGTTGAATGTTGTTTTACATGCATGATTCCTATGCAAAATTTTATTTTGTTCCTGCCTTTCTAACTTTTACTTATTTACATTGCCTTGGGCTCCTTGTGCTAATAATGCACAGGAAAACGATGGACAGACCCCACTGCATTACGCCGTCCTGTGCGAAAGAGAAGAAATTGCTGAGCTGCTCATCGAACACCACGCTGATCAGCATATAAAGGATAGCGATGGCAGCTCACCACTTGATCTATGCGGATCTCGATGGGATTTCATGGCGACTTCAAAATAAACATTCTTCCATCAACAAATGTTGGAAGATTTCAGTTGACTACATTTAGATATTCACCAGCCTCCGATGTTTACCGTGACGTGCTGCAATGAGGTGAAAACTACTACTTTACCATCTACAGTTCACAAGTTCTTTGTGGGAGTGCCATGGATTGTGTGCATGTGTCATATTGATCAGACTAGAAGCATTTCCGCAGGTGTAACACAAAATTATTGTATTGAACTGCTTTATTCTTGTTGAAGAGGATGTCTGATGTTGTTCTGCTGAACCTGCTGCTGTGCTGTTGCTGTTTCATCGAATAATAATTCATTTAGGTCTATAACACTATGATAGTTTCTTGTTTTCGAATCAGGAATTTGAACCAAAAATTGCTGCATGAGGAGGGAAGATAGGCCATTCGCTGCCGTCCATTTTGTTGAACGCGAATGCATCGACACTCGTTAGATCAAGAAACTTACACGATTGAGGGCAAGATGCATATTCTTGATCTTGAACTTAATCTGATTCCAACTACTGAAGTGAGCCCTGATCTTATTCGAAATGACAAATCCAGACTGTACGATTTTTTATGTTTTCTGATGGATGGATTTAATTATGTAATATATACTTATATTTAAGGGTGATCGAAATAATTTCAAATAAAAAGTACTAATGAAATAAACACACACACACATATATACATAACGGCTTTCAAGAATCCCTTTAAGTTTCTTGTATACAGGATACCTTGTACAGGATTTGCTTCGGATGGGAAGTTGCTCTATGCAGAGGTGGATTCTATTCAGATGATGTTGCATTGCAAATCATAAAGGGTTTCTTTACAACCGTCCATTCCCCCCCTCTTTTAATCACAACTGCCAGCTTATACTTAAATGGCCGACACTTCGAGATTGATCTTTCAGCTTTCTCATACTATTACACCGTGCGCAGGATTTGCTCCGCTCCCGACGGAGAAAAGCGTCGCTTCGGCTCTTCGCTGTAGGGCAACCTCGTGGAGAAGCCGATGCCAGAGTCGGAGGACGGCCGAAAAGTCATGAAGGCCGACGAAGGTAAAGCTAAGGCTATTAGCCTCCTCTTCCTTCTCCTCCCCTTCCCGGTCTCCCTCACCCCTCTTCTTCCATCCATTCCTATATGTCCCTCTCTTCCTGTTTTTCTTCCTTCTTTCCTCATTTTCCTCTTCTTTTCTTTCCTCTTTTAAAGATGTAGTTGATTGAGATAAGTATGACATAGGTTCTGATGTTGTAGCTTAGCTTCATCCGAAATTGGAATGATAATTTTTTTACCAAACAGATGGAGATATATATGAGATGTTGAAATGATCTGCTGAGTTATAGATTTAATAATTTGGTTTTATGGCTTCTGAGTTTACCAAAGCAACAGACTGCTATTTGCATTCATATGTCAGGTTCGCTAAATTGGAAGTTTTTAAGGTTACTTTAATGTAACTTTTATGTACATTTTGATGAAAACAGATTTAGTTGTTAGCTTGCCAACTCAAATTAGACTTTAGACTGCTACCTAACGTTTTGCCTGTTATAGACCAAGCTATGTTTTTTTTCTACCCGGGCACTTAATCCCATTTATATGACTTTTCTTATTTTGGGCTTTGGTGAATTCTGCTACATTAGAAGTACAGCTGCAAGAGTTACTGAAAATTTACTTTTGTCTTGAATTATTGACGTTAACATGGATCTCTGAAATAATGTTGAGACTTGTGTGCTTTTTGGCTTCATAGAAAGCACATCGAAGCTGGATAAGTCATCAAGCAAAACTGGGGCTTGGCAGTGTAGCATCTGCACATACGAGAATGATCAATATTTAGTATCTTGTGATGTATGTGGAGTTTTTCGGGATTTCCCTGGAAAATCTGGCAGTAGAGATGAAGAGAATGGTAAGTAATATTTCTAGTGATCATGGAATTGTTGTTCATGCTTTGAGCTAAGCATCATATAAATTTGAATTAAAGCATCATTTTTTTGCATCCATTTTAAAATGATTATGTCTCATTGCAGTTAATGGCACAAGCAAGAAATCTGAAGTATCTCCACTGGGCAGATCACTTTTTGATCGACCACCTAATAGCATGCCTAAGGTAGCTGGTGGCTTTCTTTGCAATGAAGCTGGCAAATCGTGTGGGGCAAGACTCATTTCTGCTCAACTCGGTGATCTCCATAAAATGTTTCTGGCTCCATCTCTCAGTCAAACCAAGAATATAGGTTTGTTAGTACTTTGGGGATCAGTGAGAAGCTTCAAACTTCATGTCATACTGATTTTGAAATCCTTTATTAAAAATTACATGAGTTAGCTGATCTTTTGTCTTAGTTCATACTGACTTCTCCACAGTTCTGCTGCACATTGACATCTTTTCATACATACTAATTACTTGTGGAATTTCTATCTCTGTTACATAGGCTAAATCTGATACAAGGATGCATGCCTCGTGCATGCAGTTACGCATTCTTGTACATGTCAGCGTTATGCCTATATTGCATTTTTATTAGTCACATTCACTTTGGTTGATTAGTTTTTTATATGCTTATTCTATTTTTGTTCTTGAACATTTAGTTTTTTTCACTGATTGTAGTGATTTTGATAGAACCTTTCAGGTTTGATGCACCATCTCCGGATGATATAGTTTCTTCTGGGAAGAGCTCAAGAACTTTTCCCAAGGGTATGAATCTAGATATTTTATTCTTTTAGTATCATCAGTTTATCTATTTCAACTTATGTTATCTGATGTTTTTTGTTAGACTAATGATTAGCTGTTATGAATAGCCCATGTGGTACTTGGGAATCTTAGTAACCCAGGCACCTAGCCCACTGCACATTCTAGTTGTGAACTGAATTCTAATGGTATACAACTGTTCTGTTTTTTGCATGTGTGCCACATTCCTCTTGTTCCCCTTGGGTTAATGTGGTATTCTAGGTCATTTGGTAAGATGTGCTTCCACCTATTTCGTTCTTCTTAATGTTTGGTGATAATGTTATTATAAGATCATGTACAGTTTTTTTTGTCATTTTATTTTTGATATGGACATAACAAAGAAATTGGCACATGTGAAATTGCTACTTGCTGGTATCCTTTGATCACATTAAGGTTTTCTATTAACTTCGTTTAGATCACTGGTTTCATTCTGTTCATGAGGGTTAGCTTTGGTGTAACTGTAATATTACTCTTTTTTGGACTTGGGTTGTAAAGGATTGAGTCACAGGAATAGCGTCTCTGTTTCCAGGGTTAAGGCTGGCATACTTTGACCTTCCTCAGACGTCTCATTAATGAGAGGCTCATGCACTGTGCTGCCCTCCTTTGGTGCCATTCTGTACATTAATTTCCTTTCTCTGATTGCAGTTAACACTATGCCTTCAACATCTGTTAAGATTTCACATGATAAGCCTGGGAAAAAGGGCCTTGTAGAGGTTCTACAAGATAATGAAGTTCCGGAGAGTTTTCCTCCCTCATCTTTGCCCAATAATCATAATGAGTTTGAAAACGACAATCCCAGCAGCTTTGAAGATGAACCACATATGTTAGCTAACAATGTACAAAGCCTGAAGTTGGAGAAGCACTCTCCAAAGAGTAGGAATGTAAAAGCAAAATCAAATGCTGAGTACAAACCAGAGGAGTGGATGTTTCCTGATAAAGAAGGAACCCTAAGCCAGTTAAATCTTGCAATTGTAAGCCCCCACCTTGTTAAGTTAAACATGATATCATTGCTCTATATCTTTATTGGATATTTCTCCTGCTTTATCTCTTAATTATTATTACTAAGATTATGTATTTGATGTCCTATTAGGTTGGTCATGTTGATTCAGGGAAATCCACGTTGTCTGGGAGGTTTCTACATCTTTTGGGGCAAATTTCTAATAAACAAATGCATAGATATGAGAGAGAAGCAAAGCAAAAGGTATTTTTACATGCAAAAAAAAAAATGTAAATGAAAACTAATTTTTGTGGCTATTTAAGTTGCTCCATCAGTCAATTGAGTGGTCTTATGTTGATGAATTGTAATTGTACTTGGGCCAGTAGTTAAATCAAAGAAAATTTGTTTACTTGTATCAACCTGTTCAATAGTTAACAAGGTGTATGGAGCATACAATCAGTTAGCACAGGGTTTTCTTCATTACCAATTTTGTGACATCATAACCTTTATTTTTTCCTTAGTTGCTTGTGAATTAATCATATGAAATAAAACTGTTTAATTGCAGGGGAAAGGATCATTTGCTTATGCATGGGCATTGGATGAGAGCGTTGAGGAGAGGGAGAGGGGCATAACAATGACGGTGGCTGTTGCATACTTCTTAACAAAAAAATATCGTGTCGTTTTACTTGACTCACCAGGTCACAGAGATTTTGTTCCAAACATGATATCTGGTTCAACACAGGCAGATGCGGCTGTTTTGGTTATAGATGCCTCTGTAGGTGCTTTTGAAGCAGGTATGGGTGGTAAAAGTGTTGGACAGACGAAGGAACATGCACAACTTATTAGGAGCTTTGGTGTTGAACAACTTATTGTCGCTGTTAACAAGATGGATCAAGTGGACTTCTCCAAAGATCGGTTTGATTATATTAAATTGCAACTAGGACATTTCTTACGCACCTGTGGATTCAAGGAATCACTTGTGACATGGATTCCCCTGAGTGCCTTGGACAATCAAAATTTGCTTACAACTGCTTCTGACATTCACTTATCTTGTTGGTAAGTATTTTGATATGTGGTCCTTTTTTGTCATTTTTGTTGTTTGTTGTTGACCTTGTGGTAGATGCCTGTTAATGTACAAGTTGTGTAGGTTATATTTTCTCTCTTTCATGGATCATAAAATTATTATTGTTCGAAAGATTGTTCTTTTGCCCAAGTACTTATGACAAAAGTTAATTTTATGCCTCCAGAGATATATGTGTCTATTTTGTTGGTAGTATGACATAGAAAATAAAATGGACCTTCATAGACATAATTAGATGTTTGGGAAAGATTGGATTGTGAATGTTGTTAATTAAAGCTTTAAGTTTACAAGTGTCAAAATGGTCTACCAAAAAATTAAGTGGAAGTGATTCTCCTTTTATATTCTAGTTACAGTGTTCTTTCATGTATATTATGAAGCACACAGTTTCCACATATGTGACCTGAAAACATACATTTTTTATTTTTAAAAAATAAATGGTTCATCTTGTAAGCTTTTAAGGGGCATCATCTCGGTTTTCCTGTTCTCTTCTTATGTTGTTTTAAAATATTTTGTTTTTTACACAAAGATTTCTGCAGAAATGAATATTATTAACTGTTTTGTTCTAGAACTATAAAGCCTCTCTGTGAACAATAGTCTAATTTGCTCTTGTTATTTCAAATAGGATAAGAGAACATTTAAGAATTGATATTTTTGTTTATATGTGTCCTTGCAAGGTACTTCTTGGAGATGAACCTTTTCAGTTGTCAATGGCTACTTCTGTTATTTTTTAATTGTATTCACTTAATTGCTTACAAATGAGCAAGTTTCTGCCTCAATTTTAAAAGATCGATAGTCATAAAGAGTTAGGAGGTATGTTGTCATGAGTGTTACGTTGTTATAAACTTATAATCAAGGAACATGGTTTTACATGCTCATTATCATGCCTAAACATTTTTTAAGGTTTTAAAAGAAATAAAATTTCTAGGACGTTAAGTTGTGCTTTCTAACATAATAGCTATGAAAATAACTTTTGCAATTTCATCATTTGTTTAGCATGAGATACATAGGGTGAGCCTTGGCATCATGGTAACCGAGAGGTCCTAGACCTGACTTCACTTCACAGAAGTAGCCTCTCTGTGTCAGGGGTAAAGCTATGTACTACCTCTCCCCAAATCTTGTATTTGTTAGAATCTCGTGCACTGGGTGTATTTGATTTAATTTCCACACTTGATTTTTGCCTTTTATACAAGTTAAACATTTTTAAAATCCATTGAGTTTCATTTTCTGTATGGGTTGTTCATCTGGCTTGCTCTAAAATTTGGAGTCAAAATTCAGGTATCAAGGATATTGTCTTTTGGATGCCATTGACTCTTTACAATCTCCTCACCGGGATGTTTTGAAGCCATTTCTTCTGCCTATATGTGATGTTATTTCTAAATATTCATCAGGACAAGTGACAGCTTGTGGAAAGATAGAAACTGGAGCTATTCGAATTGGTTCTAAGGTAGTATGTCTCTTTTGCTATGTTATTTGTTGTTTTGCTTATTAGCGTATATGAAATCTTGAAAACCAAAGTCACCTACTGTCATACTAAATTATAGAAGAACTTGGTAGAGTTATGCATGCTGAAGAATCTTTGAAGTATCAATATTTTCACAATTTATTAATTTATGTACCAAATTGTCATTTGCTCTCCTTATCTAGAAAGTAGAAACACCAACAATAACTCACTAACCATAGGGGGGTTAGATTTTTTTTAGATAAAATGAGAGCCATCTTATTCGTTTGTACTGTTTCCAGTAATGTTTCCTTCTGCTTTCCCTGTGCTCTGCTCACATGATATTTGAAGTCATTCACCACGAATAATTAGTACAACTACCGCCTTTTTTGGGCATTTTTAAACTCCAAAACACCTTCAACAGTTTTCCTCATTTTATTCTCAATTGGATGTACGCCTAGTTGCTCATATAATGCAAACATTTCTCTAGATATAGTAGATCCAGACACTCATCTCATTATCATTTGAGAGACTTACCTTCTTGTATATGTCTTTTGACCACATTTCAATGACAGAATATTATTAGGTGTAAACTATAAGATTTTGTTGGATTTGCATGTTTGACTTGATGGGCAATATTTCTTGGAATTGATGATAAAGGATCATTAATTATCTTTATTGTTATGCTTGTCGAGGCAAGACATGTTTGTTGTCCCACAATTTTTATGGAGTTGAACCATAGTAGATCTAGCACCCTAGTGTTTGTAGCTCAGTTTAGGAAAGGGAATCTGGAATCTGGCCTTGTTCTTCACAACATAATTCATTGTTTGCAATCTTTAATTATATCTATGTGACATATTTGTGTGTCCTATTTATGTTGGTCATCTTCTTGCACTCTTTGATGTTGAGTTGTTTCACTCTAGGTTCTAGTTATGCCATCAGGAGATCCAGCTGTAGTACGAAACATAGAAAGGGATTCTTCTACTTGCAATGTTGCAAGAGCTGGTGACAATGTGGTCGCCAGTTTGCATGGTGTTGATCAAGGTCAAGTGATTCAAGGTGGAGTACTATGCCACCCAGATTTCCCTGTTACCATTGCATCGAGTTTAGAATTGAAGATTCTCATCCTCGACATTGCAACACCAATTATCATTGGATCTCAGGTTACACAAACCTATTTCATTTTTTCATTATTTAAGTTGTTACTGTTGTTGTTTTTCTATATTCTGACAACTTAAAAGTAGGTTGAGCTCCATATACATCACGCAAAGCAGGCTGCAAAGGTGGTAAAAGTATTGTCCTTGATAGATCCGAAAACAGGAAGTGCCGCTAAGAAGTCACCACGTATGCTTGTAGCCAGACAAAGAGCTATTGTAGAGGTGAATACTTTGTGAATTTATTGATCTTGTCATTAAGTCCATGTCAGGTTGGTTCATGTGTTGGAACAGTTTGGTGCAGGACTGAAATAGATAGGCATTATCAATTAATGACAAACTGAATTTGATTATCGAGTTGGTCCTGTTGTTTCAGGTGGCACTAGAAGGAGAGATATGTGTAGAAGAATTCTCAAATTGTCGGGCTCTTGGAAGGGTCTTCCTACGAGCTTTAGGAAGTACGATTGCTGTTGGCATTGTGACTCGCATTCTCCAAGAAGCATGATGTTCAAGTTTCTTCAAATGAGTCATATTTTGCTGCAGCCTATGGGTATTATTTTTTTAAACTAATGAAATCCTTATGTCTTGCTATTATTGTTTCATTGACTTTCTTAATTATGAAAGAATGTTTAACTTAAACTGCAACCTGGCTCTAGTAACGTCTGAAGACCACTTATATCATATGCTTAGTCCCTGGAGAATTTACACTGAAAAAATTCAGGTTGGATGTGTTCAATTGTCACTAGGACAAGCCTAATGTTGATTTTTTAAAAATTCTGCTGATGATAGATTTATCATAGTGTTGAGGTTAGGACTTGGAAGCCTAGCTAGGATGCCATGCCTTTAGTTGAAGAATATAGGAATTTAGCTACACATTCGATGTGCATAGGATCAATGTTCCAGATACAATTTCACATGTCTTTAGGTGGTCACTTATGTGGTTTTAGTCACATGACCTCACATAAGGCATTATAAGTTTTGACAAAGCTGTCAAAAGCATTAGACACCATTAGGCACGGTCCTTATTGCTCGAGGCACTAGGCTTGCCTTGATGCTTGCATGCAAGACACTTCATAAAAATATAATTAAGGAAAAATATAATCACTAAACAAGTACTTAATCAAAACATGAGTTTCATATCGTTATGCATAGAAGATTCATATCATCAAGATTCAAGACACCAAATTGTACTCGTCTAGCCATGTATAGAGCACTTAATAAAAAAACAATATTTAAATTAGTCCATATCCAAATATTAAAACAAAAGAAATTTAAAGATCTATTAAGCCAAGAGCTTTAATAATGAAAATGAGGCAGATGACCAAAATATTCAATCTTTTGTTTTTCCTGTCATCCATATATCTAAATATTAAAACAGAAGAAATTTAAAGAAACCTTCCACTGTTGCTTTACCCCCAAATGACACTTTTTTGCATGGTGATATATTTTTTAGCTTGCTGATTTAATGTTGTTTTTTTCATTAGTAATTTTGCTGCAGAACATACAAGTGATGACATTAGGATCCCATGGATCCTTTACATGATTGAACCTCCATCCATAATCCTTTTTAATATTTTTTTATGATGAATCCTCTGATGTAGCATCAATTGCTAGTTATCATTTTAAATTGATTAATTAAGCCATGGAAAAAGGAAAGAAGAAGAGGGATGGAAGAGAAGATGGAGGAAGGAGCAACAGTGGAGGGCAGCAAAGAAAGGAGAGAGGAGAGAGGAGGGAAGGAGGGAGGCATTGGGCTGGCCTAGATAACCCAAACCCCATAACCTAGTCCATCCCAAACACAACAATGGTCAGATACAAGCCAAACATCTCTCCAACCACCAACCCGATTCATCCTGAATTCCCATATGATTCTATTAGTTCATACCTATCCTCATTAGTTGCAGTGCCAGATTTTTACCTAGCAATTCTGCCACTGACCTTACACTGCCAACTCTCCACTACCAGTCATATCTCCTCTCTTCATCCGGTATATATGTTCTCTTTCCTCACTTGTTCCTTTCTTCCTCCCTCTCGTTACAGATGCTCCTCCATCACTGTTGTCCTCTATTCTTTTTTCCCTCTTCTCTCCTTGCTCTTCTGTTGCAGCCAATGGCCCCACAGCTACCACCCTTTCTTGCCTCTTTTATCCTCGACCTGTCTCCCGCTTCTTGTCTCCTCTCCTCTCTGCAGCTTGGATCTACTGTCATCAGACTCTCTTCCACCTTTTCTCCTCTATTTTCTCTCTACATACAATAACCATTAACGTTGCTGTCCTCTTCCCTCTTTTTGCTTCTTTGGACTCCCTCTTCCCTCCCTCTTCTCTCCTCTCCATCGCCCTCCCTGTTACATCTCTCATATCCCTCTTCTCCTTCTCTTGCCCTTTTCCATGGCTTAATTAATCAATTTAACATGACAACTTGAACTATATTTCTGGTACAATAGTAACTGTAGACGTGTCAAAGGAATCATCAAGAAATATTAAGAATCCTAGGTGGTCCTTGGCTCATAGTATGTGTCATGATGTATCCACCATTTGGAACATTGTTTGCAGGGGACTAGGTCATGAACTACCTGTGTTACAATAGCATTCTGTTACAATGGTGGTACAATAGCATTCTGTCTCACAAAATGCTACCTGTGTTGGCTAATGCGTACTAGTTAAACTGGGGACTAGGTCATGGACTTTGTGGTTTCAAGTAGTGTAACTTTAGGGCATCCACAAGGAGTGTCATGTCAACTTGTGTTGGCACAGATCAAAATATGTATGCCAAGCCAACTAGTCTCATGGCTGTCATCTCATTGCTAGGGCAATTTTAACTTGTGCCAAGGGATAGGAGGGCATGATAATTGGCAATAACCTGCAATCTCCATACAATGATACGGTAAGCCTTGGGCAGTAAACCTATCAAAATCCACAAGATTTTGGTCTCTTTTGATTGATATCTGAGAGCTATGGCTGTTTAGTTAGAAACATGCTTTAAACTATATTTAAGCTGTCCTTTCGATCTTAATTTACATTCATGATACCTGGTAGGGTTCGCATGGGGGTTCCCTTGGGTATTTTAGCAACCGCAATAGAGAAGAAAGGGAATAAGCCGGAGTCTAAGAAGTGGTTTTCATACGTCTTTGCTTCAATTATGAGCCTGCAACCAAAGTAGAGGAAGGGATTTGTACTGTTCTTTTTACAATATTGTTCTGGTTTGACTTATTATTAGGCATCCCAGAAAAGGCATTCTTTGACTACAATAATACTCTTGATTTCTTAATGTGCTTTAATGGGTATGTTACCCTTCTCAATAATTTACATATTTATGAGCTCTCTCTTTCGTAACATGATAGGATACTTTATCGAATGGTTGTGAGGCATTGCTGTCGATTAATGATCGAACTCGGAAGACTGTCGGAGGCAACCCTGACACAACTTAAGGGCTAAGAGGAGACCCTATGTTTTGTTCCATCTTCTGACAGATAGCAAATCATTAAACCGATACATTGATCCAAGTGATCTTGACAGATCTCTCATACTTGCCTGTCATTGCAACAGCATTCACAGGGTACCTCAATTTCATCTTCCTTGTCTACTTCCTTTATGAAGGACAAGCTGGTTGAGCACCGAACATAAGGCACAAATACAGATGACCTGAAGATTTTTAGATTTTTCTCAAGGGAGAAGAATGATTACCAGAGAGGAAACTGATAAAAGATATGAAGCAATATCCACTGGTAGGTCTCGTCTTTGGATCTGCTGTGCATGGGAACTCTCTCAGACTGACGATGAGCAACTGTGATGCAAATCTGCAAGTACGGGAAGGGGACAGGTACCAATGAGAATCTTATTGGACATTCTATTTCACTTCTGCTGTAAACTTTAATTGTTGCATCGCCCTGTTGATCATCGTGCATATGTAGCCTCACCCTGTTGATCGAAGTCATTGGCAGGACAGATATCTCCTTTTATTAGGACTCTGAATCTTTGTGCAAATGTAGTCTGCACGACTAAAGATCATACATTGTTTTGTTTTTTTTATAATCTAGTGTAGATGATATCTGCATTGTTAATATTAAAAACTAACATAAACATCTCATGTTCCATAATGCTATTCACCTGCACTTCATTACTTTGCATCATACAATCTTGAGCCACCATAGTTGATAGAACTCTTATTGTATTACGGCAATCTTAGTGTAACCATGCATACGCTAAAGTATGTGTTCTAAACATTTGGGAGCAACGTCAATGACAGCAAACGAGACGGTAGAAAAATCAACCACAGGATTACCTAATAATTTTACTGCAGTCCTTCCCTATCCATAGAAGCCATCAGTTTTCGTTCAAAACCACAAACCCTAAAACAAAAATATGTTCTTCTAAATGCTACTGTTTTTTTTTTTTGTGAGTCTATGATCGTCTCGTCCTTTGACTTGATTTGTTAGCTTTCGCCTCTTCTTCATCCAAATCGATCCTTAAATTCCGACAGCCAGGAGAACAGAAGCCTTGCAGATCCCTGAACATAAAATAATAATAACAGATGTTTTAGTCTAATAAGAAACTAAAACGAGGGAGAAGATGATCTATACCTTGTTAAACATTAAGCATTAAACTTACTGTAAAAATACTTACCCATACATATAGATGGGTGCCCTGTTAGATAATTGCTTATCGCACTGAGCACATCGATCCAAAAATGGTGGTAAGCGTGGCGTCTCTGTTTCAGAGGGAGGAAGAATATGCATCAATTGCAGGACTCTTTTTGCGATCTCGGAAAGTGACTTCTGCTCCATTTCTTCGTCACCGGCTATTGTCACACTGCACAGTCGTTGGTTATATTTCTTTTCTGCAGGCGTTTCACGCTTTCGAGCAACGGACGCGTAAGACTCACACCACCACTGGAATACCACAAAAACAAGTAAAATAAGCATAAGAGAGATCGAAAAAGAGGAAGAACAAGAAGTACCCGATGCAGATTAGTTGCAGGATTCCTTCTTTGTTGTTGTTGTGATCCTTCGTAACTCCTGTGACCTAATTAATTTATAGGAGAGAGAAAGTAGAAAGAGATTCTATTTCCGACGCCGATTAGGAAAGCAGTTACTGCCGTCGTTATCTTTTCCTAAGCACAGTGGGCTTCGGGAAGGAAAGCGCGCACCGACTTCAGCTTCCCTTCTTCTTCTCCTCCTCCTCCTCGTCCTTTCTTCCACCTCACCCGTCGTCCTCCGCTTGATGCTTTCCTCACATCTCGGTCGCCCCTCTTTTCCGCGGCGTTCCGCCGGGCCTCCTCGGCTGAGCACCCCGCGGCAAGGCAGATCTTCCATGGCGGCTTATGAAAGGGCACCGGCAAAAGCTGCGGCGGCACGAGGGCGGCGAGTTCCTCGCCGAGTCCGAGTCGGAGCAGGCCACGATTGGTGACGGTAAATCCACGAATCATTCTTTTAGAGCAGTCCACAGGTCTCAGGCCGGCCTATTGAGGCCCAAATGAGAAGGCCAGCCCGCAGATTGGGCAACGGCGATCGTGGCCGAGGTAGCGGATGAGGAGCGATATGCGGGGACTTGTTGCCGCTCCTCCTCCTCCTCCTCGTGCCAGGTGCCGTCGATGGCATCGGCGAAAGCAGCGGCGGGATGAGGGCGGCGAGTTCACCTTCAAGTCCGAACCGCACCATCGGGCTTCGATCGTGAAGACGAGCAGTCTGTAAATCTTGAGCCGGCCCATGGAGGCCCAAATAGGCAGGTATACACGTCTTCTATTTATTATATGTATCTATAAATTAAAAATTGCATTGATAAATAAGGAACAAAGTATATAAATATAATTAATAAAGGTAGCATTCATGTCCACCACATCAAAGAAAAGAATGAATTAAGTTTTGACATCAACCCATTCATCAATATAATATAAAATTGTAAGTAACTATTCAAATTTTCAATATATAAAATCTAGTTCATAGTTTATGTCAAAATAAGGATTATTAATAAACTTGCATTTAGTATGGTTGCATAGTTAAAATATCATAAAAGAAACATTAAATCACTCACCTATAATATCATGCATCGAGCCATTCCTCTAGCACCAATACGATAAGGGATAATTTGGTCGATCGGCCATTGGTGCAGCTCGGCTCATAGGCTCATGAGAAATTATTCACTTTGGGTGATAGACATACCCGTACGATTTTATCCTTTTCGAAACATGTGAGCTTCAAAAAAGTACCTCTAGACTAAATGACCTTACGAAGACCGTTTTTTTGTATAATCAAAACTTAGAAAAATTTTGATCATCATGGTAGTTGTGTCATGATTCAAGTTATCCGTGATCTCAGTAATGTCAGTAGCCATCCATCACTTGTTGTGTTATTATTGGGAAAATTCTAGGATCCATCACTGGGATATGGGCAGGCATGTCACATCTTTTCCTTTGGTTTTCCTTTTTTCTTGTGGAGCATTATCTCGGCTTTTGTGATGTTATTTTTGTGGTTGTGAAAACATGGCTTTCTGAAGGTGGTTGACATGTCGCACTGCAAATACACACATCATGGTAGTTTCCCTACGCCATCAATGGTGTTGTTGTGAGCTCTCTGGTAGTGATCATTGTACAGACTCGAGCAGCTCACCGACACTGCTTCATCGGTATAACATGCCAGAATCCTCTATCCTCTTGTTTAGTTTCGGTATGAGAGAATGATGAAGGAGCTCATCTGTCATCACTCCACTGATAGCACTACTTAAACTGGCACAGCCTCCTCATTCACTCAGTATAGAATCCCTAGAAAGAGAGAATTCTGAATAACCATAAAGGGGTTTACCACTTTGTTGTGGGTGGCTCAAATTAACTTCAATTAGTCTTGAGAAGAGGTCTTTATTCACTCAGTAGAGAGAGAGAAAGAGAGAGAGAGAGAGAATGAATTCTGAATGACAACTATGAAGGGGTATACAGTTTGATGTGAGTCTCTCAAACGAACTTTAATTATTCTTGAGAAGAGGTCAAACATGACAGTCCTTAGAATATAAATGGATACGTATATACTATCTTACTGGGAGCTTTATGTTTTAGATAATTGATAGTGATTCATAGCTTAATGTAATATTTGATGGAAGATTCTGTCTTCTTATATTCTTTTCATGCCACAAGATCTACATTCATCCTCCATTTGATATAAATATCTGAAATGATCATTATTCTCATTCAATTGTAGTTTGGTATATGGAATTCAGCCAACCCATATATGACAAGCAGCTGATTGGACATGTCATCTTAATTTTCAGAGATGAGAAGTGCTAATAGGACATATTCTTTGTTCAGTTATGACTTGTGTATTTCATCTTTTACAGAAAAACTTAATTTCCTCTTTCATATGCGATCACATTGAGAAGGTGAATGAGATTGAATCACATCGAACTGATGACTTAAAAAAGTTTTGTCATATTATTTATCCTTATGTGTATAAAGATAGTTTTCAGAAAAAAAAAATCTTTTATGTTTATAGTTGAAGTGGTTCACTCACTCCAGATGGAAGAAAAAGACAATGGAACTTCCCAGAAGAAACAATCACATACCATAAAGCTTTGAATGATCCAATGAACAGTCTCAGGTTTATAGTACAACAACATTCTGCTTGTTGCTGAAACCAAGATAGGAGATGCTTCAGCTGTGATGCACCACAACATCTGTTGTTCTTGCCTGTTCAAAAAAATGTATAGTGATGATTGATTTGATGGTCTATTAATCGTTTCAGCTGTTCTTTTAATCTTTGAGCCTTGTTTATATGATTAGCAACACAAGCCAGCTTGTGCTAATTAGAGGACCCAACACTCATGTGCATCAATTCTTGGCTCTCCCTCTGTGGTCACCCTCAATCCACATCATTTGGTCTCTTTCATCCTAAGAAAGCTTTTGCTAGTTTAGAGCTCTCCAACAACACCCCACAATGTTAAATCATTTTCATAACCAGAAAAAAGTGCTCTTCATCCATTCCAAATAATGATAATTATTTTCATACTAAAAAAAGATTAAAAAGTACTTTCATTCATAAATAATATCATAATTTTGATGAAGGATATGAGGAGGAAGAATCACATAAAATGACAAGCAAAGGAATGACTTAAAAAGATTTTACAGAAAATATAAATCATAACTAAGGATATTATTTTGTAAAAAATATCAAAAAAGTTTATAATCTTTCATAAATGGTTGAGATGTATGTATGACTTGGTTGTATATACCATCAGTCTATAATAATGGTAATATTTGAATGCAATGCTTCACTTTTTCATGCCATATCTAGTTTTAAATGTTGGATTTATTATTGGCTCTTATAATCTATTTGGTCAGTATGGTATTGAGATACCAAATCACATATCATTTGATATCACTAAAAAATAATTAAAAAATAATAAATAAACGAGCATATACACAAAGCAATACGAGGTTGTAGTCCATTATTTAGGATCCATGGATACATCATAGTTTGATTAGCATTTTAAATCATTATTTACTAATTATATCTATGGATGTATCACTAATTTCTTCCTCCAACCAAATAAGTAGAGGATTGGTGAAGGAAAAAATTAAAATTAGGTTGAACCTCAAGACATAAGGTTTGATGATATAGACCCTCCAACAACTTGTGAGGACCCATCTTGTAACAAAAAATCTAAGTTTTTTTTTTTTTTTTATCTTCTTCCTAATTATTCCTATTTGTAACTTGATTAAATATTATATTATAATGATATATCACACTTACTTATTAGAGGATCTAAAGTTATATAAAATATAATTCTATATAAATTATTAATTGAATTATAATATATTAGACCTACTCACTAAAGATATTGAGTGGAATTTTGTCTTTGCTATTTATCTTTTATAAAAATACTTAATTAGACATTTGTAAATCAGTGAATTATTTTATTGACTTGGAATTGTAGCATTTTAATTTTTTTTATCGAAAAAAGAGGTGCATGAACATGTTGAGTGGCTCACAATACATGTTAGGATAGATGAACTGGCTTTGAGAATTATTAGGTCTTTCTTGAGGTGTGTGTGCTTTCCATGTCCCATTAATGCTTGTCAATCTACTTCTACAAGTCCACCAATAGAATCATGTAATGATGTGAGCAAAAAAGTGATAACTTAATCATGCTTAAGTTGGTGAGTCTCATAAAATGATGTTATTTGTCTGCATCTCCTGCTTTGCTTTAAATATATGGAATAGGCAAACTTAATCTTGAAAGATATAAAAGGTAACCCATGCATAAATCTCATATTTAGGAATTAGATTTGTTTATCACATGTGATTATTTGGTTAATGAATTCACTTATTGTAATTTTCCTATATATAAATATATATATATAAGTTCTGAGTTATTCAGAATAAAAGTTGAAATGTCAACATTAGATTTCAAACATTGAAACCAGGATATCTCTTTCACCAAGAAATGAATTGAAACATGATTTCCTCCTTAAAAGACAATGAGAAGAAAGAGTATTTATTGTAATCCTGATTTCAATATTCAAATTTCCATGGAGAAAAGAGAAGTGGTGTCCCACTATAAAGTGACCACATCCATTAAAGATTAAATGTTGTATATAATGAACATTAATTAGATGGCATTGTGTCCTATTTGTGCATTCAATATAACCCATCATACTATTCATATATATTGGCCAAAGCTGACTGCTGCATGTTGTTATTCCAAACCTGTTTTAATCTCCACATCAAACATTACAACAAGTAAATAATAGCCTCTAAATTAAACATGTAAATAAATATATATTTTAATCATTCCATTCAAACACCACAATACAATACAATACAGCAACAATAAAACAAATAGTAGGAGAGGAGGGAAAATATTTTAATGACAGTCATTAAGAAAAAAAAAAGGGGAAAAGAGTAGAAGGGGAAGTGAGAAGAGGTTAGAAGCAAAAAAAAAAAGAAAGTGTTTTTGTTTTTTTGTTGAGAGAAGGCTTATTATTGATCTTTATATTTATTATTATTCTATCATTTTGAGCCAAAACAAATCACAATTCTTCGACAAAAGCCTTGAAAGCTTCATTTCCTCTTCCCTCCCTCGCCAGTCTCTCACCGCTCATCCAGGACTGCTCTTTTAGCCCTTCCTCGGAGGCTTTGAGAGCGGCGGCGGTCGAGGGAGGTGGCGACGGCGGCGGAGGAGTGCTTCTTCCTGTGCTTGCGGGTTGATTGTGCGCGATTCGTCGAGGAATGAGGAGCAGGCCTCGTGAGATCCGACGCGGGCTGGACCGGTCCGATCTAGGATGACCGAGGCTGATTTCGGCTCGGAGTTCGGGGGTTGCTTCACCCTTGCTGGACGAAGAAGAACGGGCTGCTCCTTGTCTCTTCGACGCCAGCTTCATGGCGACCACCAAGCGCGCTTACAAGCTGCGTATCCTTTTTTTTTTTTTTTCTCGCCCGACTCGGTTCAATTTTCTTTTTCTAGGCTTTTTTATTTTCTTGGGGTAGAGACTAGAAAATGTTCATCTTGGGTATCTAAAATTAGTTTTTTTTTAATCTTTGCTTATAGCAAAGCTTGGCTAAATCTATTTGGTTTATTTGATTTGGGTAGCTGGAAATTTAAGAAAGCCATGATTTTTTAGATCTTACCGTGTCTTAAGTTTTGGATCTCTGTGATTTGTAACTGAGATTTGCAAGTCTTGACGAGAGTAAATCTAGAGGAATTTGTGGCGCATTCTTCCAGCGTCAATTGCCTGAAGATTGGGAGAAAGACGTCGAGAGTTCTTGTTACTGGAGGAGAGGACAACAAGGTTAATATTTGGGCTATTGGAAAACCTAATGCCATATTGGTGGGTACCTCTCTGGCTTATATCGTCTCTGTGAGCTTGATCTATCTGTATGAACCAACTGTTTAACTTGCGACCGTCGGGTTATAATTGTGTTGTGTACATTTCTAATGACCTGCAGAGCCTATCTGGCCATATGAGTGCTGTTGAGTCAGTAAGTTTTGATTCATCAGAGATATTGGTAGCTGCTGGTGCAGCTAGCGGCTCGGTAAAGTTGTGGGATTTGGAAGAGGCAAAGAGTAGGAGACCTTATTTTGTTCTGTAGTTGATCAGAGAGAGACAAATGATATGCTTAATATATTTGGCTTTGTTCTGTTTTATTGCTTTGTGCAGTTGTTCGAACTCTGACCGGCCACAGGTCAAATTGTATAGCTGTTGACTTTCATCCATTTGGAGAGTTCTTTGCTTCTGGATCTCTGGATACAAATCTGAAGATATGGGATATTAGAAGAAAGGGATGCATTCATACATACAAGGGTCACAGCCGAGGGGTTAATGCTATTAAATTCACCCCTGATGGGCGGTGGGTTGTTTCTGGTGGAGAAGACAACACTGTGAAGGTTTTGCCTCAGCCTTTTGTTTTGTATGTTTGATTTCTCTAACAATATTCTTAAGTCAGACTACTTTATTCTCCCTTATTGTTGACAATATTATTAATAAAAGACTACTTTCTTCGCCCTTATTCTTTGTAGTGTTTACCATGTCAATCAAACATAGCTATGCTGGACATGTTTCAATTTCTCTTCTTTCATAATTGATGTGGCCTATTTATGTGTACATAGCAGTACCAAATTGACAAATTCTAATATACCTTGGCTTCTAATCTCTTGTCAACAGCTTTGGGATCTTACTGCTGGAAAACTTTTACATGATTTCAAGTTTCATGAGGGTCAGATTCAGTGCATTGATTTCCATCCTCATGAATTTCTGCTGGCAACAGGTTAGCTTGAGTGTTAACTATGTTAGACAGGAATTGCAGAATTTTGATCATTTATCATGTGTAAAATAATACCTATATGAGCTTGGGATAATATAGTTGGAAAATGATCTGATTATTCTATTTCTCCATTCTCTTATATTCTTCCTCACTGATTGTAGTTCTGAAAATAAAACATAAACGTTATGTGTTGGCAAACCAGTTTTTTAACCACAAATCTAATTTTCTTTTTATTGCATTGTTAAGCTGTTGCTACCTGACTTATTTCTGCAGTTGGAGGGTTTGGAGCCTCAAACAGGACCCAGATCATCATAACCTAATGTTTTATGCTGATGCCATCTTTTGCACAATTCTGATCATCACTGTGTTTGTATTGCAATTTGCTTTATTCATGTGGACACTTTGCCAAATTTGCATGATTTCTTTGGGACTGTTTTAATTCAAATGGCTCTTGAAATGTGTGCAATGAATTTTGGGTGACTTGGCATCTCTGACTTTGTGGCTTCTTATAAAGCAAGTAGTTGATGTTCATTTCTCATTGGATGCCTTGTTTTTGTTGTGAACTTTGTTTTGAGAGCAAGTAGTTGGTGTTGATCATGCATCCAATCTTTCTGTTGTTACCCTTTATATTGAAAAAAGAATAGTAAATGAAGTGAGAGTCAACATGTTTTGCTCAGGATTACCTTGCTCTATAGCTCATCATTTCAAAGATTTGAGCTTGTTGAATTAATGTTGCTTCAACAAAAGAGATGAGTCCCCTAGTCTATTGCTAGGTTCTTAACAAGATGTTCTTAAAGAAACAAATGTAGGTATAAGAAGTAATTCTTTTGTACAAAAATTTATCAAGGCTTTATACATGAGATTCTAATTTATACATGGTCTTCTAATCTACATATGAACATGATAAGCCAAGTATGCATTCATAATCATTATCACAATTTGAACATTTGGGGGGGAAACTGGAAATCAAGAAAAATGTAGATGTCACAAATAGATTAAGAAGGGATTGATTTGAAAAATATATGAAAAATAGAGAAGGTAAGATGTTGATATAGATTTTGTATATTCCTTCATGCAGAACTAATCATGAACGGAAAGAACAGATAAGAGTAATGAATTATTAGTGTATGCCTTATATTTCCTGATTGTTTATAGTAATGGAGTAGTCAAAGATAACTGGGAATGCATTATAAGATTTTTTGAATACTTCAATTATTATTGATTATCTAGGATTAGTCTGGTTTTGAAGGTTTCTTTAGTAGTGAAAACACAAATAACTTGAGTCTTCTTTAATAATCTAGAGAATATTGTTATTATGTTTCAGATTTTGCATTATCTTGAAAATTAAAGAGTGCCTTATCTGGTTGTAGAGGAGAATCAATTTTTAGCACTGGTTAGATAATGACATAAAAAATCTCATCGTTTTATTCATGTCTGCTTCAGCTGTCTGGATTCACAAGTTTCTGATATGCCAAATGTCCACATGAAATTGCTTTGAATATTTGATAAACCTCTGCGACATGGTTAGGCCCTTGACATAGTTATTTTTGGCTAATAGATTAATTGGATCATGAATCTTTAATATTTTGCAATTTTGTGGGATCAATCTATGAATTAGTTAGTTATATTGCAGAGTTTTTATTTATCTTTTAGGCTGAGTGCTATCAGTTACGGTGTTTAAGATTTTTTTTTTTTCCTAAATACAAAATCTTTCCAGTAGCTAAGAAGTATTATATGGTCATAAGGAACATTAACTCAGTAGCTATTTTTCCATGTATTTTCAGATGTGCTGATGATATAGTCTTTTAAAGTTTGCTGGCATTCTTTTGCTCATCAGTGAAGAATTTCATGATATATAAATTGAACTAGAACAAAATCATATATGTAGTTTGTTATTGTCTATGCTATCACTTATCACAAACTGGAGTAATATTAACTGTTTTACAGGTTCAGCTGATAGAACTGTTAAGTTATGGGATCTTGAAACTTTTGAGCTAATAGGGTCTGCTGGACCTGAGGTATATCTTCAAGTTTAAATTTATGAGCACTGTCTTGGTTTTCCCCTAAAATATTTGGATGAAGTCAGTTACAAAATTTGGCTGAATCATTATAAATTTTCTGTTAATTAGGACTTATCTGATGTTTATTAAATGTACGTGATTTGGATATTTGTGACATTGATTTTTAATATTGGTTTCACCTCTTTTAAGGGTGCCATGCTGGATCGGGGTCGTGCAGTGTCTGTACTATCCACTCACTTAGTAGAAAAAGCCCAATCCACTGAGAGTCTACATATTTGGTTCAGCTCATCTAGGACTTTGTTTGAGTATTTTTCTTGAAAACTAAGGCGAGATTTAGCTTGATTTAGCATACATTACTCTAGCTAGACCATCACAGAATGGTAGGACGTTGGAATACCTTGCTGGCTCATGGCTGAGTCTGAAGGACACTAGTTCAATTTGAGCTTGAGTATTTGCTTAAATATCTGAGCCTAGACAGTACTTTCTTCGGTTCGGCAGCTTCATAACTTCCATCAGTGCATGTCATTGAAAAATTTCATCTTTACAGTTCTCGCTTTCACGTTACTTGATTGCCTTTCATGAAAATATCACATTTTTACAATTTTCTTTACCATTTGCCTCTTCTTGGATTTAATTTGCTGGATGCATGCTGGAAATCAAGAGCTTATTTTCTTCTCTTAATGGAAATCAACATTTTTCTTAATTCTTGGATTTATCAAATGCCTCTGCATTCTGTGTTATCGCTGCTGCCTTTTCTGATCTAGCCACTTTGTATTCAGCCAATCAATGGATCATTACATCACCAAAACATCCAAGAAACTGTGCCATTTTGATACACAATTGAACTGAAATATGAATAATTGGTTTCATAGAGTTAACTATAGTTAATCAAGTGGCATCCTTATGCAGTTTTAAATCCTCAATGTTGTTTGATGTGCTGCTCATGTACTGAGATTGACTACAGACTTCTGGTGTGCGTTCTATGACGTTTAATCCTGATGGGAGAACATTGCTTTGTGGATTGCATGAGAGTCTGAAGGTAGACTCAATTGGCTTTTTAATTTTCATGATGATTTCTACAAGTGCTAACATTAGTTTTTGTTCAGGTTGTTTCCTGGGAACCAATAAGAAGCCATGATACTGTGGATGTAGGATGGTCTAGACTATCAGATATGAACATTCATGAGGGTAAACTTCTTGGATGTTCATACAATCAAAGCTGTGTTGGAGTATGGGTTGTGGACCTTTCTGTACGTTATCTTAATCTTCATGAGATCCCTATTGTTTGTCCTTTTTGGAATAAGTATTGTTATGGTGTCTGGTTATATATGTAATTTGACATGTATCCAATGTCATGAATTACAGCGCATTGAGCCATATGCAATTTCTGGTGCTGCTAGATCAAATGGTCATTCTGAACCAAAGTCTACATCAAGTGGTAATCCATCTACGCAAACTGACAACAATATAAAGTCTAGCATGGGGAGGCTATCAATATCACAAAGTTCAGAAGCAAATGCTAAGGAAACAAAACCAGAAGCATGTAGGTTATTTTTTTTTTCTTTTCCTTTTATTTAATTCTGTAACTTTAGTATGAACGTTTAAAGCAGTAGAAGATATTTAATTTTTTTCATTGTTTGAAACTACAGCAGCTGCAAGCATCCCTGGTACCCCTCAAAGAACTGGGACAAATGCTGGTGTAAAAACAACTACAACAGCACCTACACCTGTTTCTACTACTTCAAAAAGAAGTTCATCAAAAGCTCAGGCTACGACAAATCTTCAGACAATCAATAAATCTGATATAATACCTGTCATTGTTCCAAGAACTAACCCACGAGGAGAGTTGTCCTCTGATTCTACTAAGGTGACTGGAGTTGGAAGAACAATACCATATGATATCCAATCAAAATTTGCTAATTTTCGGAAGGTATCAAACATCAGAGAGAATTCAGACAAAGCAGATATGTCCATTGAGTCTGGACTTGTGGGTAATAGAAACACTGAACAAAATGAATATTTGGGCCAAACTTCTATTTCTTCTGCCAACGCTGTAACTCAGCTAGTGACTGCTGGAGAAAATAACCAGGATGGTGTTAGACGTGTTATAACAGGTAGGGGACGATTGAACTCATTCAGAGAGTCAACTGCAAATTATGATCAGGAAAATTGTAAGTCTGAATCCTTAAATTTTTTATTACATGTTGCAAGAAGCTATAATCTTGATCTTTCTTTTATATATTACATGATGAATAATTTATATTGCCAGACTTCCTTTAGTATGAAGTACAATGCATGCCAGTGCCACAGATCAAATTTTGATTGAGACATGCCTATGATCAACTAATGCAGAAATAATGGTTCAATTATTAATTAAGGTGTTTTTGAGAATCTTGGTCAGGATCAGGAGATTCTGGATGAAATTAACAGGTTGAATTAGACTCTGCAATGTATCTACCACTTGTTGTGAGGTAGCTATATGATATGCCTTTGGGCTTTAAGCCTCCACTTTCTTGCAAACCTACCCTTCAGATTTTGCTTCTTCAAGCATCATCTTTCTACTTGTCTGAAACTTTCTCATTGTCTTTGGTTTTTCTCTTCTAGTGATAAAGTGTGCTTTGAATTCTCAATGTCTGCAATTAATTCTATGATGCAAACTTTTTGTTGACTATAAAATATTCTTTAGGTTAGATTATATTTATCTGTTGAGTTCTTAATTTTATTAGTATTTTTATGTACTAATTATTTATGGTTTTATTTTTTAGGACATTTTAAAATTAAAAAACCCTTGATGGTTGGATCAAATTGATATTACCACACTAATCTAAAATAAAAATTCCAATGCTTTATACTTGGTTTATATGGACACGATAATTGTGTTAGTTGGCTATATAACATCCATGCTGTGATTCAAATTTATCCAGGAGTTAAAGAAAATGCAATTTTATGAGATTATGAGGATTTTAAAAGAGGATTCCATATAAGTTTACTAAACATATCTAACCTTCATCATTCCAAATAATAGCAGCTGTTCTCCTAACAAGGATTGTTTACCCATTTCTGCTGTTGTGTGCTGGCTGGCTAGGTAGATATTTACAGGATACACGATCATGGATGCATGCTTGAGTATTAAGCCAAGAACATAGCCATCTCACACTTTATAAAGTATGAACCAATCTTTAAACATCGTTTCTCTATTGGTTTAGATGACCTATCAGGCTTGTGTGTTTAAGTTGATACGGTACGGTACAAGCTGGCAGATAGAAAAAAAAAAATAGGATTTTTTATGTTTAAGCAATAATTGATTTAGATGACCTATCAGGCCTGTACTTTCTAATCTGTACGGTATGGTACAAGCTGCCAAGAAAAACTAATAATAGGATGTTTTTTGTCAAAATATATTCAGTATGTTTATTGGCATACTGGTTGCAACCGAAACATGTAAGACAGTTTGTTAACTATACTGCAATATGCATATTGGTTCAAGCTGTTGATATAAGAATATGGATTTAACGGCATGGTTCCAAATTTTGATGCTGGCCCCCATATGGTCATTGGCTGGACTGGTACAGGTCTAGTACATATTGACACACAGATTGTCGTATGGTACACCAACATACCTTTTGGCACTGAGAATGTGGGAGGAGGAGCATAAGAGCCATAATACGAGGAGAACAAAGAGGAGGGTAGGCGCAAGAGGAGTGGACTAGGAGGAGGAGAGTTGCTGGGCTGGCGACGGTGGGTGGTGCAAGGCTTCAGTCGTGAGAGATCCAAAGTAGATAGAGATAGAAAGAGGGGTGTATCAAAAACTTAAAAACCCTAAGTTCATTGCCCATTAATTTGAAAAAAATAAACCATATAGAACCAGATAAGAAGTCCTGGTTCTTGTGTTGATTCAAGCCTCGACCAGTAAATACTACCTATTAGGTACCAGTTCAAGCAGAATTTAAAACCATCTGTAATCGTATGGTAAGTTAAAGAGCTGGCATATATACAGCATCAACATTTTTTTGTAATACCATAAACCATTACGTTTTACAATAGTGTTAAATATTTAGTTCTAGATCTTGGCAAAAGACAAACAATTGAATTATGCTTCTGAAAGTTCTTAATTACATACTACTACAAAATTGCAAAGAAGGCAATGCAAGTTTACAATGAAAGAAGATGCAATATTACTTTATTGTCATTATTCCATGAATTGGTGCCCTTGCCTAACCACATAAACAATACATCCCAAGCTGTTATGCTATCTTGTCTGCCATCAAATATCAACAAGTTGGGTCCAGCCATCCACAAGCAATATGGTTTTCAAGTATTGGGATTTGTAATAATTGGTATAGTTCAGTTGAGATTCACCATAACGAAGGTTATTCATGTTCCAAAGTTTGTTGTGAAAAGTCGATATTGGCATTTGATGATAAAAGACTAAAGAGTTCATAAACTAACATGGTATTTGTGATATTTTATGCTCAAGGTTTTAGAATTCTTTCCTATGAAGAATTTTTTTTTTGAAGAGTCTCGAAGAGGCAAGTGGCAGTGAGTATCCATGGATGCGGATGAGTGCAGGTTACAAACACCTCAATCAATCAAGAGGATGTAATCAATTTAGGTGTTTCTAAGTCTCAATAAAATATTTTCTTGACATTCGCTATATATATTCGATCTGTTAGTATCTTTTTTTGGATTATGAGCAGTGTGAAACCCTGATCTTGTGTCACACTGATGTTTCGCTGTATTATAAGATATCAGTTAGTTTGTCGAATTCGTGGAGTGTATTGGATATTATGATTAGTACATCTGATAGCTTTTTTTTTTATATATATTTAGATAATATCAAAATCGAGAAGCCAAAGGAAGTGTGCCCTATTGATGTTCCACAAAGAGGTTAATATTTCCTACTTATTCTATATGGTGCTGTCATAACAACTTTACATTTTATTTAGATTTCTAAGCATCTGTAGGAAGAACAAGGTCAATTGCTTCAAACTGGGAAAGGAGGGAATGTTCTCCAAGCTATGAGGGGCCAGTGTCAAGCAATTCCTCTGAGACAATGATGGCTACTAGCTCCTTATATTCTTTGGTAATATTTATACTTGATTACCTATTAACCTTGATATAACATCCATCACATATCTAAATTTTACTTCTCATCTCTTATATCAGAATGATTCTGAGTAATAGAGTAGCTGAATCTTCTGTCAGAGCTTAAAGCTAATTTATTGGGCTTTAATGGCTGTCTGAAAATCATATATGATATGTTGTTTGTATTATTGCTGTTTCTCATCATAAAGTGTAAGATTGCTGACATTCTCTAAGAGATGATTATCTTGAATGATTGAAGTTCTGTGGATTGACTATTTCATTTTGTTTTGTCCTTTATCTGAGAAGGTGCCCATTGCATATTGTTACTGTTGTACTCCAATCTTATTACTGAATGTATAATGATTTTTTTTTTTGTGTTAGATCCAAGATATACAATACCGTATCGTACCAATGTTTCGAGATTGACTCGGTACGGTACCGGCGTATCAAGCGATACACCAGGGCGTACCGAACGGTACATCATGGTTTATCGAGCGATTTTAAATATTATTCCTCTTACTGTAACACTGTAGCACTACTACAGTATATACTGTAGCACTGTAGCACGGTCCATCCGGTGGTGAGCGATCCGTGTACCGAAATGCCATCGGACCAGTACATATTGCCCATACCGGGCGGTACCATTCGAAATTGCATACCATAGTTAGATCTGTTCTGTTGTCCAACTGTTATTTCTGACAATCTTACTAGTGCAGTTTCTTGCATAAATATCATATTTCTGGATTCTTATCCTTTATCTTGCATGCATTTTATACTTTGGTAAAGTTTCCATTTTGGGGGTTGAGGTCTCAAACAAAGCTTTTCTGTGCTGGTTGTAATGTACAAATCATTTCCTTTCATTTCACTGATGCACTTTGCTTCAATGTTTCTATTTTGTCTTTTCTATTACTCTGATAATTTTGAACATATATTGTTTTTTTAGTTTTTCTTAATGTCTTTGCATGTCTACTGTTCTAATCATATTTTTTGTGTTTCTGAATATGTCTTCTAATACAGTATTATCTTCATTTTATTGGACAGAGAGGTCATAATCGATTTGCTGAAGAAACTGTACCTGCCTCTGATGAGGATTCCATTTCTATTTTATTAGAAAAACATGATCAATTCTTAAACTTAACACAGTCTCGGTTGATCAAACTACAGGTAAAATTTTTATCTTGTGATTGCTTATGCTCATACGAGTTTGGCAGATGATCCACATAAGCACGAAGATTTGTTCAACTTAAGTTATAAAATTTCACCCAATTGGCACTGAGGATTAAAATGATTGAGATTCATTTGCATATAATATAAGCCATTTTAGTTTCACCAAGTTTGCTTAGGAATTGTTCAGACATTTTTTTTGCAACTTCTATATGAGCATTGTTGCTAATTTCTAATCTCTAGGTAAATTACAATTTTCCAAACAAATTGTAAGCATGACAAATTGCTCTCAGGAGAAATATGCTTTGAATTTTAATAGCTACAATATAATTTTATTTCACGAGAATGTAAAAATAAATGAGAAGGATAATAACCTTAAATTTTCAACTTCTACTGTCGTGGGCTAGTTGTATTTTCAAAATCTATAATCAAAGAGTTTAGTAAGGGTCCTAACTCCTAAGTGCATCTATCTGAAACAAAAATACAAATGCAATGTGATTTGTGGGTGAGGTTGAGAGTTTTTTCTAGCCTCAAATGCTTTTTGTTGTGCACCTCGAAGTTGAAGGTCAACCCTTTACCTGTTTAGGTGTTCATCATTGACGAACTTGTATGGGAACATTCTGGTTGTTTCATGTGATAGGTGTTTCAATATTTTGTAATGGCTCTGAATCTGTTGAGAAAAGTTTTCTGATGTACCTGAAACTTAGTTTCTCATGCTATTTGTGAGTTATGATGATCTGAGATGTGGATAATTGTTTTGTTTCATGATATGTTTTGTATATTATGTACATCTAGTAGTCCTGATATCTCACTATGTGAAACTTTTATCTAAAACACTGTACCTTGCTAAAACAAATTTTTCAGCAGTATGTTTATGAAGATATGACAGTGGTCCTTGATTTGGGCATATGGTATTTCTATATGTCATGAATGAGCTAGTTTGAAACAACAATCCACCATTTTATTGTTTTGACATCAACTACAAATATTCTCTCTAAATAAGCTATTTAGTGTTTAGGAAATGATTGACAGTGACTTCAACGACATACCTGGTATTGATTTTCTGTGTACAATTTGCAGGTAGTTTCCCGGCTTTGGGAAAGAAATGATGTCAAGGGCGTTGTCGGTGCAATTGAGAAGATGTCTGATTATGCTGTATGTACCATTGACAGCTGCCTTGTCAGATTACAAAGTTCTACCTGTAATTTTTGTAATAATATTATGCAGGTTTCTGCTGATGTATTGGGTTGTTTGAAGGACAAAGGTGATATTGTCACTCTAGATATTTGCATGTCTCTCCTACCGCTCCTTACTGGCCTTCTTGAGAGTAACATGGATAGGTATGCTTCCGGGAGTCCCAGTGCTATAACTTCCTGAACTCTGTACTATATTTCATCTTTTTTTTTTTTCTAATTATGCCTCAACTTTGGCTTGATCTGGCTGCATTCTACTCCATCTGCAACCTAGTAAAGATGATAGTTTTAGTTGTTTTATACCTTACTTAAATTTGATTTTTTTCTTTGTTAGACTAGTCAATGTGAAATATGATTTTTCATGCATTTTTTGTGCAATTAGAATTGCTTTCCTTTGGCTGTTTTGCACTTTTTGTTCTATGTTTCATATTAACGTTTTTTTTCCTTTTTTTTAAATTTTTTTTGGGCCTAATTTGGTAAAAGGCAAGCAATTCGAAGATTGCTCTTGTTATTATTGTCACTTTTTATGTTTCTTCATGTTTATAAAATTCTGTTGCAAATTCTGAATCAGCACACTGGATAGTAGTACATGTTTAAATGACTTGTTCCATACCTTCAGAAAAATGTTCTGACATTTACCTTTTGTTACCCTTTTGTTTAATCTGTTTTATGTTTGGTCAATATTTATACCATGTTAGGTATCGTATCTCACTCCTCCCTATTTCTTCGACCTGTTATGAATTAGTCGTGGATGAACTTTTGTCTCGTTAGGAAGAGTGGAAGACTAAGTGCCTCTGGATAGCATTTAGATTTTAATGTCCTTAAATGATACTTAATAGTTGCATCTAGTTCTATCAAAATCTATGATATTCACTGACCAGTTGCTCACACTATCCATTATAGGCATGTAGGTGTTTCCTTGGGAATGTTGCTGACACTTGTCAGAATCTTTGGTCCTGTAATACATTCAACCTTGTCAGCTGGTCCATCTGTTGGTGTTGATCTTCAAGCAGAGCAGAGGTTTGTTCTCGATTGGCCTTCTTTTGTTCATTTAAATTTACTGACTTATAAACCTCTGCTTCAAAAATTAACCGCTAGTGATGTACTTCTATTACCAATTTTTCTATACATGCCAGGCTGGAACGTTGCAATTCGTGCTTCATTGAGTTGGAAAAAGTCAAGCATAGGATTTCTTCCATGAGTAGGTGCGCCATAACCTTTGCTGTTTTGAACTCTTTGATCTTTTCTCTAGTAACAAAAGACTCGACTAGTTCTGAATGAATTACACTTGTGCTACACATCCAATCACTTGCTATTCTACTTGGATCAATTGGAGACACAACAGTAACAGATTCTTTACTGTTCCTCATAATCTTTTTTCATTAATTACTCTAGTCCTCTGAAGTGCATTTTACACCTTTACCAGAAGAGGAGGGTCTATTGCAAAGGCTGCACAAGAGCTGAATCTCGCTCTTCAGGAAGTACTGTGACTGGCTAACATACACACATGTATAGTGGATTAGCCATGGACCTGCCGTTCTTTAGATCCCTGTCTCCCCGTAGCGAGCTGGTCATTCATCTGCTGACTCACCAGATACGGGCGCTGAAGCTAAACACTCCAGATATCATACTGCTTGCATCATGTACCCATTCTGTGGTCTGACATTGTTGGTCCGTGCAGCAGCATGCGGAGGGTATACACGTATGACGGCAGTAGGAAAAGTTCCATAATACTCACAAAGAATCGATCTGAGCATAACTGTTATGTTATCACAAGAGGCTTTGCTGGCATCTTTTGAGGTTTGCTGCATGAGGTGTTTTGTGTTTTCTATATGCAACGGATTTTAATCCTAGTAAAGTTTTCATTGCTTAGAATTGGATTGAGTTGCCTATAGCCCATCAATTGTTAGGGTGAGGAGGCATAAGGGGAAGCTTTTTCTCTGTACCTAGTTCTTGTATCACAAGTTGCAGCAATGACAGAAAAAGGTTTTCCAAAAACTTTGATCCAGAAAACTCAGCCCCTCTAATTCTTGTTGTTGCTGAAGTGAGTGCATACCAAAGTTACTGCATTTTGCATGTCTGTGAGGCTCGTCAACTTTCTCTTGGTTGCTTGTAAAACTTATGCAAGGAAAGATCATAAAAAATTTACCTTAGAAAAATGCTTGAAGATATATTTCTTTGGGTATTGTTTTTAACAAAATAATCTGTTGATGTCTTATTCATCTAAGTTTCTTGGCCGTGGAATATCCATCTTGACTTTCTCTAATGCTTATGTGGAAGATAGACTGTCTCATCGAGCAATTTTGGGATGCATGATTCTTCATATCGGTCGGTATTTACCGGTTTCAAAAATGATCAATATTGGATCATGTGATCCGGTATTTGGTATTGTGTCACTAAGTTCAATCGAGATCAATATTCTCATTAGGCCTACAGTAATATTACACCATTTACGAGCCATTTAGTTAAAATTTATAAGAAGAAAACTTATTTGTATCACAGATGAATCTGCTGACTAAATCTCCTACACCAAAACTTTTCAATAGTTCGATTGATGTATTCTTCAAGCCCTTCAAGGGGTTCAAGGCTTCATTTAATTAGAATTTTAGGAACACACTACTGCCAACATCCTTTGTTTGCAAAGTTAGGGAATCTGTTCAAGAAAAAGCTGCAGAGAGAGAGAGAGAGAGAGAGAGAGAGAGAGAGAGGAGTGAACAAAGTGGTGTGTTGTGTTGCTTTAATAGAACTTCACTTTCATGGACCACCAAGACACTCAGATCGCAGCTACCAGAAAGAGAGAGAGAGAGAGAGGAGTGACCAAAGTGGTGTGTTGTGTTGCTTTTATAAACCTTCACTTTCATGGACCACCTGAACACTCAAATCTCGGCTACCAAGCGGTGGTGTTTTGGTGGGTGTAATAAAAAAGCCTGTGCTTGGGCATATATTGCAATTACTTGTTATGTGCATGGCACAATGATACTTTCTAATGTAATATATATAGGGTAAATTTTTGAAAAAAAATTTCTAGCATGGAAAATTTTTTATAGAACATCTCTATTTTGAAAAATTCGTATAGAGTTTTTTTTTTTTTTTCCATAAATGATCATTTCATCTCTAGTTGTCTTACATTGCTTTCGTCACAGTCTTCCCTCTCCTTTGCCTCATCGGATTTATTATAGAAGGGGTCATTGTTACTGTGACCCCTCTTACTTGCCTGTCATCACGTGTAATCCTCTCTCTTTCCTTTTTTTAGTAGGATTTGTTGTAGAAGGAGCTATCGTTATTGTGGTCTCTCCTTGCTCATGCGAGGGTGAATAGGGCCGTTGTGTCTCCTCGCTCATACCCCCTCTCCTTACTAACGCAAGGACAAGGTATGCAGGGATAGATTCGATAGATATTGACATGACACAGTGTAAAACAAAAATGACGACATAGGAGTGATGCAAGATGATGATTGAAGAGGTAAAATAATATTTTCATGTGGCTAGAGGTACTCTATGAAAAAATTTTAAAGTTAATTTTTTTTTCAAAAATTCATATATATATAACAATTGATTTTGATTATAATGGTATATAAATAAGTTTTTAGGTTTTAAAGGGACATATATATAATTTTATCGATACATATGAATTCTAATTGTATCTACAAGATTGTTGGTCAGAAAAAGCTTCATATCTAAATCCTTTGTATAAATCACTCTGTCTAATAGACTCAAGTCAACTACTATTGATTATTAATCAAATTAAAAGCAAAACATCTGAATATCTTTTCTTGCTTTTACTAGAAACTTAAAATGTTAAATACAAAAACTATTAATTTAGAGGAATATAGTTAATATTTTATGAAATTTATTGTTTTCATTTAAAGTTTCCACTTTATCTTGTTTAACAGTGAACCAGCAATGGAGTTTTTAGAATTTTGCATGAATATATATATCCCAAACAGTTATCCCATTTTGATTTTTTCCCAACAATACCCACTAATCTATAAAATACCAAAACGACCCTTCTCCACTATTGCGCACCTCCGCCGCTCGTCGATCACGTGTGAACGTCGCCCTTTACCGCCCATCGTCCACGAGGGGACGGGGTGTGAGAGCCGCCGCCGGCCCTTTGCTTTAACGTTGCCCTCTACCTTGTTGAACCTGCTGCCTGCAGCCATCGTGCGAGGAAGGAGAAGGCGCGAGGACCATCGCCGGCCCCGCCCCTCCGCGGAGGCAACATCTTCCACCGAGTGGAGGAGCGGGGCCGGCGGCGGTCCTCACGCCCCCTCCATCCTGGCAATATGGCTACGGGCGGTAGGTCCGGCAGAGCAGAGGGCGATGGCGAAGCAAAGGGACGACGGCAACCCTCGCGCGCCCCTCCCCTCCTGGACGGCGGGCGATGGCGACGGGTGGAAGGCGGGCGGCAAGGGGTGACGACGGCGGGGTGACGACGGGTGGGACGATAATGATGGGTAAATCGAAATGGGAGTTACTGGTTGGAAAATACTATATATATATATATATATATATAGATTACGCCGAGGGGTGGAAGTGTATCCGACAGGAAGTGTTTTCATCAGCCCGACTGACGACACGGCTTTGGTCGCGCCAGGCGCTACGGACCCAGGTCTGGAATGCCACCGCCTCTGATGACGCCCACCGTGTGCGACACGTCAGCTCGTAGGGCGGTTATTCGCAACTTAAGTCGAAACCTATAGCCAGCGAATCCTGTGTCTGATTCCACCTTCGTGCAGGTCGGCGGTGCTACTGGAATACCATGCCGCCCTTTTGCACTGTGAAATGCAGCGGATCTTTTTCGCGAGAACGTTTCAAATTCGGGTACATTATTACGTATCTCATGAACTTACCTTCCCGTGGGTCCCATTGCTTACTTATCATAAGACACGTAACCATTCTGGTGATTAGAGAACGGGTAAAGCTGCGGGTCCTGCCACTATGTTTATTTATTCTTTCGGGCACAGTTCCCTCCTCCTTCTCCCCGCTCCTTTTCCTATTCTACCACCCGACAGACGTTACGACTTCACATGCCAGTCGGCGTTGGCGCACATCCTGGCTATGGTGTACGAAGAGTCGTATCCTCAATCGCTGCAATAAATGATCGTTCTTTCGTGTCCCTCCGTCTCTTGCTTCAGGTCTCTCTTTCCCCACCTTATTAATCTCTGCGTCAGGAGAAGAGATCGCCCTCCCCGAACCAAAAAAAGGTTTGAAGCCGAAGAAGAAGATGATGATGATGGAGAAGTGAGAGGAAAAGAAACCCTAAACGGAGAATAAAAGAACAGCTTAATCATCATCATCATCTTTCATCATGAAGAAGAGGACTTCCCTCGGCCTCGTCGCCCTCTTCACGTCTCTCACCCTCCTCATCACCATGAATCTCCAATTCGAGCACCTCAAGGTACCTCCCCGCCGCTCCCCGCCCCCCCCATCCCTCTCTATTCCGTCCCATTGCTTTCCTTTGCTTTGCTCCTTCCTCCCATGCTGATGTCGGTGGTGGTCATTTCCCATTGTTCCTCAGATCGATGTGCAGCATCACGAGCCTTTCGTGTCGACGGAGGTAGGTACATATATTGGTGCCTTTTGTTGTGTGTGTTTGTGTGGGTACTGGCACCAATACGTCATGTTTTGATGTGGATGTGGTTTGCAGAGACCGTGGGGGGGCGCACTCCAGGGGCTGCCCCGCGGCATTGTCGAATCGACGTCCGATTTGAAGCTGAAGCCTCTCTGGATGAGCTCCTCCTTTGAATCTAAAGTATTTTACTAAATTTCTGTCTTTCTATTATATTATTTCATCGAAATACTGTGTTTGTATGCCGTGATGCGCTGAGTTTGTGATACATCAATGATGGCGGATTTGAAATGGAAAATTCATAGAACATGCTCTTCGTAGCGCTGAGAAATAGTTCAAAAATGATTGCTGCACAGTATCTCATCTTTGAGCTATTGACCTAACCTATAAATGTCATTTGCCTCATTTCTACCAAGGAAAAACTGTTCTAGAGCTATCATTGGTTTGCTTGGTTGTTTCAGAGATGCTAATCACATTTTAAAAACGTGTTTCCTATAAAATATCTTTCCACATTGAGCTCCTTTTTCTTCTTATGGCCAGTTTTACTATCAGATTGTTGATATTCTTTCTCTGTTAAGATTTCTGTTTGTTTTCCAGCTAAGCCTGGGATTAGATTATTCTAATTGAAAAAAACTTGAGAGGCTTCTAGTTTTATCAATTATCTCCTATTGTTTCGATCTGTGGCTTTCTTGTTATCAGATTCATGAATGATGAGAGAAGGGGACTACAGAATTATTGTCGTCATTGTTATGATCCGACTCTTTTCACGTATATTCAATTTTTTTAATAAAATAATGCACATATAATTAGAAAGCGATTATTTGCCTTTGCAGGAAACTGGTGGAAGCTATTCAGCTCTTTTGGCAATGGCTGTTGGCATTTCGCAGAAAGAAAATGTGGACAGTGTGGTTCGTAAGGTGTGTGCTTGATGTAGAATTTTAGTTTGACCTAGAAGAAAGAATGTTAATGGCATGCTTTCCTTCTCAAACCATGCAATGCTGGTAAATGCTTCACTTTTTTGGTTCAGTTCTTACAAGAAAATTGCTCCATAATACTCTTCCATTATGATGGGAATGTGGATGGATGGCGTGATCTTGAGTGGAACAGCAAGGCAATACACATAGTTGCTTATAACCAAACAAAGTGGTAACATTATATTTCTTTATTAAGAAATAATCTTAACTTTGTGCATGATTTCTCTTGGGTGCTTCTCTCATGATCACCAAGGATTATTCTTTCTTTGAAATGATGTTCTAACTTCTAAGAAGAATACTACGGGGTTTGCTCTTTTCATCTGTGTACTTTTATACTTCTCCTGATCCTTGTTTTTCTTGTGGCACCTGAGATGGGTAGACAGCTGCTTCTTAATAATGCAGTGTGGTCATTCCATTTATCTTTGTTGCCTTCCCTGGCATGTCGATTCATCAACATGTGGACTTGTTTCTTATTTTGTTTAGTCATTTTTATGCTGAAAAGATCATTTTTCATCACACACTTCATAAGTTAAGCTGGCTGTCTCGACACATTTATGATTTTGGCTTATTCCTGCAGGTGGTTTGCCAAACGCTTTTTACATCCAGATATAGTCTTTTTCTATGACTACCTTTTTTTATGGGATGAAGATCTAGGAGTGGAGAATTTTCATCCTGGGAGGTATATTTGTGACTACCACTGTGGATTGATTATATGAAACCATGCTTGCAGAATAAGGATTTCATTCTTGACTACTTCAAACCATTGAATTTTTTGAAATTGAAGTTAATTTCTCTTCTGTAGCCATTAATCTGCCTCTTTGTATTAACATGGTTGCCGCTTGGCAGTAAGCATACCACTTTAAACAGTTTTTGGTAGTTAAGACTAAATAATTACAAAGAAGTGAATCAAGAATTATGTATTCTAACATGATTTCTACTGCATATTGTACTAACAACCTTGCTAAAGGTGCACTAAGGAATGAGGCCCACCAAACCTCTAACTGTGACCTAGATTCAACTGAGGCCTATCATCTTCAACAAGGTGTGCCTTAATTCACCTCATTGGAAAAGCAAAGCTCTCAAAATGTATGTCTTATGTACTTACTCTTGGATTTCCTTCACGATTATGACATTGATTACTTCATTGTTTATTCTATTGGGGATTTCAGTTGTAAATGAATGGACAACTCCCCTTGCACTTCTTATGTGAGAATGTGGCCTTGTTATATTGTTGTTGCTTTGTTGCCTCTTTTCTAATCTTTTCATCCTTATTCTTTAAAATTTTCTATTATCCTACTATTTTATTTGATTGGTTTTACCTATTCTCTTGCTTCATTTCGTTCCTACTGCTGCCTTGTTGTGTTTATAAAACCTAAGTTCTGCTTCTTCTTTTTTATTATTATTATTTTTCCGTTTGGTTTTTGCATTAGTTTTACTGCTTTTCTTTTTTTGCCATTGCTTTGCTTTGTAGCCTTCTTTCATTCTTTCCGAGATATTGGTCCCATCTTTATGTCTTTACATTTTAATTCCATCTTCATGTCTATAGATTTTATAACAATGGCCTATCATTTGAACTAATAACTCAAAATTAACATTTTGATTATTTGTATTCCACTGAGTAGTATATAACCGTTGCCTTATGGTGTGAATTCATTTTTACGTCATATGATCAATGGTTGTTATTCTAAGTCAGTGTTCCTTCTTGCTTCAATGATGCATGTGCCTCATCTTGCACCTCATGTAAAGGTGTCAAGCAATCTTGTCTCCTTAATGTACCTTAACCCTATAATACCTTCGTGGACAACTGAACAATGAGCTGGACAATTGTTCATATTAATGTGGATTAGGTTACTCTTGATGTTTTCTTTTATTAACTTTTCTATTTCCTGGTTGTTGGTATATCTCTCTATTTGAAGTAAGTACCTTCTTAGCCTCTAATGAGAAACTTGATAGGAAAGTTGAATCCAAGTAGTTCTAAATAACAACATGGCTAACCTTGCTGGAGAACTTCCTATCAGTAGACACTACAAGAAATTGAGCGACCGTGGATCATTGAAATTTGTCTGTTGCCTTTGGTGTTGATTATTTTGCTCTTCCAAGTTGCCCTTCTTTCTCCCAGACTTAAGGTGCAGCTTATAGATGCTTCTTGTCTGGTATATTGTTCTTCATGGTTGCCTTTTTTTTGCCTTATATGGACAATCACATTTATTTCCTGTAGAGACAACATGCGTTCACTTATTAACTTTTCTGATGATTGCATATTCAGGTACTTACAGGTAATGTCTTCTGAAGGCTTAGAAATATCACAGCCTGCATTGGATCCTGATCTTTCATCCGATATACATCACCGAATTACAGTCCGAAACCGAATGAAGAAGGTCCACAGGTTATTTTAGTACTAGTCATCGCACAATTTTTTTTCATTGTTTTTGCTGCAGTTCATATTCATTTTTCTTGTTACATAGACGAATTTACAATCGTCGTGGGAGTCTAAGGTGCTCTAATGAAAGCAAAGAACCTCCATGCACTGGGTAATTATTTCTGCATCATTTACTAAATGATTTTCACTACATGCTATGACACTCACCACTGCCATGAATATAATGTGTTATTGAGCACATGTATTGAGAAATTTTGTGGTTGCACTTTTTTTTATTTTCTGTAGATTCCATCCTGGTGATGATATTCTATTCCCCATTTTGAAAAGATGACTTTCTTTACCTCCTAATATCTATCTTTTGTCATGTTTAATCTTAACATTTCAACTCATGTTGAAGTCATGGTCTGTTTCTTTCTTTTCCATTTATTTATTTAATGGCATCTTTTAGTTGAGAAGTGGAACTCTAGAAGCTATACGTTGCAAGGCTCTTGAGTTCTAAAAGAGGGAGGATGATTGTGATAAAATATAGTCTCCTTAGTTCTAAGTGAGTGAGGATAATGCCATTAATTTCTGATAAAATCTCATGGGAACAATGCTTCACTGGGGTCATAATTACTTGAATTCTTGTCTTGGACCTTCAGTATGACTCCATATCAAATTGTTTTTGAGCAAAATGTTAATATATATATTTCTGGTATTTTTGTTTTAATTTGGCACTTAGCAATTTAATTCCAATGGGTTCCCCAAGCATGGCTGCAGTTATCTGTCGAATTTGGTAAAGTATGTTTAAGGAGCCTTATCAGATATCACATGGTTGAAATACCATACAAGTGGGTTAAGGAAGACACAAATCTGTGTTAGGCCATCAAGTTTGCTGACATATTGCCCCACTGCTATAGAAGAGGCATAAACATAATCAGGTGGTATCACGTTAGTGGTGTCAATGAATGGGCAATTTAGCATACTGGAAGATTTGTCATGAATGGATACTCATATCCATTGATGATGATTTATTTAACATATAGCATTCCACAGTATAAACAACACGAGGGAGCAATAAAAAATAAGGAACTTGCAACTATAAAACATCCTTGGTCAGGTATTTTTGTGCTGCTGAATTTCTTATGTTTTATTTGGTTTTCTATAGTTGTTTTTTTTTCAATCCCTTTGGTTTATACATGTGGAAATTAGCACCTTGGTTTCTGATTGATGTTAGTTTTGGACATTAGTTTTTGTTAAATTAGTATGTGGCTTCTGCGTAAAGAATCCTATGTTGCTTCTTAAGGTTGATAGTCTACTATTATTTATTTATTCTATTCATATCAGATGGGTTGAAGGGATGGCTCCTGTATTTTCTCGTGCTGCTTGGCAATGTGTGTGGCATCTCATCCAGGTCCAATTATAAACTAAATTTCTATCTATTCTTTTTTTCTGTGATCTGTAACCAAAATTAGTATAATCATATAACTTAAGCTTTTGAAATTGTCTTTGAATTTATACAGCGATGCACCTTTGAGACCTAGGATACAGTAGTCTTAATTTAGCTGTCTAAGGGAAGGATTTAAATATTGTTTGATATCAGTTTTGGTTAAGGATTTAAATACTGATCCCATACTGATTTATGTAACCTACTGGGCCAGTGCGGTACTGATATATTTAGCAGTATAATGATCTATAGTTAACAAAAATAAAATGATTGGGTTTGTATAAGGTTTGAGCTATTTGGACTGATAACTGGTTAGTATATATTGGTTCAAGTTCAACTGATAGTTAAATCCAAGGTTTGTCGTCTCGTGCTGACCAGCGGCACCGGTCCTGTCTCAGAGTGGTATGTAGCAGTCGATACTAGTATACCTACCATATGTCAGTACACGAGTATATATCGACAAACTGAAAATGCACCATAAAAGACCCAAAAAATATCTGAAAAATCGAAAAAACTCTTTAATTATAAATCAATATAATTTCAATAAGAATAGAGGCAAACTAAGGATTTGATAGCAAATTTATCTTTTTTTAACACTTTGTTGTATGTTTCTCTATTTCTTCTATTGATATTGAATCATTTACAAAGATACAAGCAACGTTAGATTACGTGTTGAAACTTAAAGATTTCAGCAAATTAAGTAATAAATAGAAGCAAATTGTATATACTTGTTTCTACTATCAAAATGAATAATAGGACTCCACATTGGATGAAACGAGATCCTTGATATTATAAATTTGTATATCAATCTGGTATATAGTGTACAAGTAAACTATTTCGAACCAAGCATACCCAATCTTGAAACTGCTCTCATGATATAATGTACTAGTAAATTGTATATCATTGGTGCATTAGCATGGTAACGGATTGTCATGAACCCGAGGAGCCTCCTAAGGAAAAATTATCTCTAATATCAAGAGAAATACACTAATCAACCGTAATTACTCATAATAAGACACTAATAAAGATATAATCATGTCAAAATCTGACTAAAACATAGAACAAGCGTAAAAACCTTTAATTGAAGAGATCTTCTACCAAATGACACGTTTGATTGATTGAATCCCTCAAATTAATGTTCTGATCGTCGATTAGGATGCTTAATTGAGAAAGAGAGTGAGTGAGAAAGGGAGGGAAATCAAATATGTGAGAGGAAGTGAAAGCGGGGAGTGAGGAGTGTTTTAAAGGGTGGAATGAGCCCGAAAATGGGGTCCAACAGTCAAATTGACCATAGGACCAGACCCAATCTCACCCATATGTCCAGTACGAGTGAGACCCGATTGTTACTGACCAAAACATGTTGGTCAAATTTCGATCGTTTCACCGAGATATGGGGTGTACCGCCTGGGACACTCCGGCATGTTAAGTGCTGCGCTATACGCGACGGTCCGATACATATACCACCTGGTATGTACGTGGCGGTTCGATATTCGGGCGGACCGCTATGTACCGCCCATATCATACCTTATCAAGCATTATGTCATTCCTTGGTTAAATCCTTTGTTTCATTAACGTTTTAACGGGTATGGTGCTCCAATTTGTATTGTCTAATGTTATTGAATTTAATAGTTAAAAAATAAAAAATGAACTGATATATCTGTATTGAGCTATAGGTTTCAATACCGGTACTTGGTCAGAATGGTAAACATGAATTGGTGTGAACCAGCCCGACCAGTATTTAAAACTCTGGGCCAAGGTAAAATTCTATAATACTATGTTTTATTCAAATGTCGTCAATCCTAGTATATAAACAGTTGCTTAACCCTATTTTTATTATATTGGACAACTCGTCCAGTAAAGTTTTCTGGTTTCGATCTATTTGTAGAGAATTTGGATTTCTGTTTACAAGATATGATCAAGATTACCTATTAAGCAGGCAAAAACCAATGTTAATTAACATATCCTAAACATTAGATTTCATTACCAAAAGGTTGTAAGGTTTGTTCGCAAACCCCTCTTGATAAGATCTGCTCTGTAACCCCTAGTGCATTGGGATGGATGTTGTCAAAGTGATGCTGAACATTGTTCCTCAGCCTCCTCATCCTCTGTTTTTTTTTTTTTGCTTCCTTCAGCTTAATCATTATCCTTCCCCATTTTCATATATGGTTTCAAGTTTCAACTGCCGGTTTATTTTCTGTAATATTTCGAATTTTCACTTTTATATTTTTGAAGCTTTCAATTGTCATTTCAATCTTTCATTATTATTCTTAGCTTTATATATCATATATGAAACTATTTTTTAATAAAACTCAGTATGAATCCTAGCTAGCTTGTGAACACTGTTGGACTTGCAGTAGCTTCAGTTTCCCTTCAAAAGTTTTTGTTTATTTCTCATGCCTCACTTTCACAGCTATCCTTTTATTTCATCTATCATGAATTTTCAAATTGAGATGCTTGAAGTTATCAATCTTTGCTTACATCTTCTGTTTTTATTGTTAAACTGTTGTTTTTTTCCCCTTCTTTTAACATCCTAAACTAATGTCACCAGCACCCGGTATTCGTCTTGTCTAACTTATGACCACAGTTGGACATTGCTTCATTGTGTTGGAGCTTCAGATTCCCTTCAGAAGTTTATTGCTTATCATGCTCAGAATTTAGGTTTATCTTTCAATTGTGCTGCCTGGAAAAAATAGCATGGTAATTTCCCTTTGTTTTGTCTAGGCATGCCAAATTTTCAGAACCCTTCTCATATTCACTTTTATTGGCTTGTCCAGCTGCACTTTTCACTTGAATTAGGAGTGTTACTGGTCAATTTACATTATGTTGGTGACATCAGAAGCCTGTCTCCCTAAAACCATTGAGATCATTGGATTCTTTCTTGAAAAATCAATGTAGAGTTTTTTTCTTTGGCATGAAAATACTGATTCTATTATTAGAAAAAGGATGCATATTCTTAAGTTAGATGAGTGAAAGGTAATTGGGAGGGCTAATCGAAACTTTAATTTTTTTGCTTAGATATGGTCCAAATTATTTCTCTTTTTTTTAATCTTTCAACATTATGGTTGGCAATCAATCTTGGTAAATTGCAGTACCATTTTATCAGCTATTACTTTTGCAGAATGATTTGGTTCATGGATGGGGTTTGGACATGAAGCTTGGATATTGTGCTCAGGTGAATGTATAAGGACTGCTAAAAATTGTTCTTTATTATGAGGGTGCTTTTCCCTTTGTGAATAAGTTACTTTCTATTTTGTACATTAATTTATTTGTTTGAATATATTAATTATCAAGAATAAAAGCCTCTCATAATCCTGATCAAGATTTTTAATTTGACACTTCCTGATGTACTCTTGAGTTTGCTTTTTGGATGTTTCTTCTGATGTAAGTTAGCTACAAAGTCAATAATTCTTTAGTCTGAATGTGGATTACTATTTCTATAATAAACTGCACTAAGAGCCACTTGTGCCTTTTCAATTACTAGATATTCTACTTGTAATTCCGTTGCCAGCCCCATTACTCTTCCTTCCCTCTTCTTTTTCTCCTTGTCCTCAGCCTCCTTTTCTTCTTCTCTTTCTGCCTTTCCTCTACCCCATCTCTGTCTGCTAATGCGTACCAGACCTGTAATGGTCCGCTAGGGGCTAGTACAAATTTGGTATCTGAGATTTAGAACCATGCTTATGACCTTGTTTTAAGAGACATTTAAGATTTGCTGTTTTCCAGTTATGAATATTTGAAGCCTTCCAGTTCCTGTTGCTTACACTATATCTTCTTTTTTGCATTTTTAAAGCTTTTATAGTGAGATACATATGGGGTAACGACTTTCAATTCTGCTTTTCAATGCAACTGTTTGCAAATAATTGTGATACTTGTGTTAGTATTGTCAACTTTCTTTGTCAGATTTCTTTTATTCACTTAATGACTTTGATGCATCTTGGAAGAGAATAAGTATCTTACAATGGATTCCGCTTGTGTTTTATTCAGAATTCAAACAGTTGGGTTAAATTATTTAACATTTTTTTTTGGTTGGTAAAAGATATGTAATCTGGGTTAGCAAAAAAAAAGTGTGAAGGTTAATTTAATTAAGGATTGACATACTGTGGCATGGGAATGCGCCGATGACTTTTTTGGCACAATAATATTCTATGCCGTCTTATGCTGGCTGATGAAGTCTGAGAATTTGTATATCCATGTTTGCACCTTCTGCATGAGACAGTATGGTGCTAATATGTTTTTGGCACAGGAAATTTTGACCTGCGTTGACATGACTAAATAGGCATCGCAATTCTTGATTTTAACCAACCATTTAGATGGGTTTTGTTATCCCAGGTTATCCAGTTTAAACCCTTAAACTGGATTACTTTTACATTTAATTCTAGTGTTTAAATGAAGAACCACTTGTTTAAACCTCTTTCTCCTTAAACTAAGATGTGGAAGTCATCTGCAAGATTTTGCTCTTGATTTTTGAGTAATGATCTGCATGATCATAGTAAATTTGAATAGATTGCATTCGAGTTGTTGAAAATCTATTTCTATCCAAAGGAGCTTCAATGTTTAAAAGTAGCATGGTGTTCACTGTACATTCAACATTGGAAATTCATGCATTATCCAACATTAGGTGATTCTTGTACCAGGAGAAAAGGGGGGCAATTGTCAAAATTTATGGTCCTATGATAAGCCCATGGCTTAAATTTTCTAACTTAGAGGTGTCAAATGTCCAATTTATAGAGAATTTTTTGGGAGCTTGACATAATACTCTACTTTCGTTTTTAGAAAATAATCGATGTCCAAGTTACAGCCATACTTCAAATTTGTCTATATAGTTGCACTTGCTATAGTGATTATTGGATCCCAGAACTTGTTTCTTGCTTATGCCAGTTTAGTGGAGTCTATGACAGTCCAACTTTTTTTGCTGACATTTTTTGTTGCTTTCATGTCATTGAAAGAGTCAAACTGCTAGTTTAGTTTTTAGCTTTATGCTCAGCATGGTAAGCAGAATATGTCCTCCAAGATTGTTTAAAATATTTATCATCAATAATTTTTCATGGGTTCTGATACACAAGCCAAATTTCATGGTAATTATATTAACCTATTTTATGGAACTTCAGGGTGACCGAACAAAGAAGGTCGGGGTGATTGATAGTGAATTTATTGTTCACAAGGGAATACCGTCTTTAGGAGGGCCCTCTGCTAACAAGGTTCTTAACCCTCTTCAGGACGCTGTCTTTTTCAGTTACTTGCCATATATGGTTGAAACTTGAATGTGCTGATCATTTATGATGTTTTTATGCTTTGAATAAGTATTTAGCCACTCAAGGTATTATGTGCTCAATCAGATTCTGCTTTGCTGAAGTTTTTTATAATCGGTAGTTCAGAACCTATATGCATGTAATTGTTGTTCTGATGCTTTCTTTAGAAAATATTGTTCTAATGTAATTATGCTATCTGTTATAATGGTTAAATTCTTTCCACTGTCTTCAAGTTTTCTGATCATCCAAAATGTGACATATAGTTACTGGATTATGGTTAACAGGCTATGTTGTTCTGTAATCTGTAGCATTGACTAAACTGTGTTCATGTTATGCAAATAAGTTTCTTGCTTCCAGATATTTGTTGGCATTAAAAAACATGTAATAGATTATTGCCTGCCATATTTTTAGGTTTATGAAATAGCCTAACATCTGCTGGTAAGACCAGTTGTGCTTTGTGGGTACAAATGTAGGAAAGGCAAGAAAGAGAATACATACTCAAGTCCAGCTGAGCTTAGATATTTTTTCTGAACATGAATGATAAAACAGAAAATATAGAATAATAAAATAATTAATTTTCCCATCAAAGGGCAGATAAATGCAAAACTAATTGAAGTTTAGGTTAAACCTTTTTAGGCAGTTTGGATATTTCTAATGAACATGTTTGCAGTGGACCAATCATGAAGATTCATTCAATATAATTTGTGGTCCCATAAGGGTAAAAGGTAGAGTAAATTTTGGATGTAAGCAATGACTAAGGAGAACATTGGCTCAAAGACAAAGGGGAAATGAAATCCTGGAGTGAGTTAACTGGTGGAAGAGGAATCAAGTTACTTAGACATTTCTTTTGTATTTCATGGATGTATATGATCAAATAAAGAAATTATAAAATAACAAGCAACATCACATTCTGTTTTCTGTTTTCTGTAAATAAGTGTTGGATGTTTAATTGTGAGGAACTGCTAAGTCAAATATTGATCAGATGATGCCAATATTAGGGAAGAAATTGCAAACATATAACTGCCCAATGTCAATTAGCAACATGACTGGCGGTGGAAACACAATTAGATGATTTATTTTGGTAATATTGCCTGAGATATTTCTTCCATAACTGATGAGGATGAAGTTGTTTAATAATAAACGTATCTCAGATTCACAGCGATAAAGTTCTGGTTTTAATGGAGAGGTATAACTACATTGTAACTATTGATTTATTCCCCCTCTTACTGCAGGCACGAAACCGAAGATCCTTGGATTCACGAACCCATGTAAGAAATTTCTTTATGATAATTGGTACAGGCTCAATTTTGATAGATCTAATGATTGTTTCCTTATTCTATCATTCAACAGATCAGAAGGCAGTCAACAGCCGAGCTTAAAATCTTCAAGGCACGCTGGAATAAGGCTGTGACTGAGGACAGAAAACTTTTAGTTGCTTCTGAAGTGTTCACGAAAAGAAAAGGATGACATAAGAAAAAAAAATTTATGACACCAGTTCAAAATTAGCTTGGGAAGGCATCACATTTTGTGCCTGCAGTGGCATGACTGGTGGTTGCTTTAGGTGAGTACGTTGACACTTATTATATGTGTTATTGCACTACTGTAGTTATCATGTGTAAGTCTGATATACTACCATGCAGATTTTCCAGATGTTCTCCTGAGCTTGACAACACATCAGAGGTTGCATGACCAACACTGTTAAGTTGCAACATGAGGCATTGATGCCTAGCAAAGCAAAAAAATTACACACACACAGACACACACACCACAATTCTTCATTAATTGTTTTTGCTTTTTAGTGCAATGATTTTTCTGGTTGTATATCATTGCTGCTAATGCTATGGCCAAAGTTTTAGCAAACGTTGGAAGGTTGAAAAAAAACAAATGAGATGCCACTGCTGCTGTGCAATTAGTAAATCTTAATCTTTCCTGTTCAAGTTATTATTTTTCATATACATGTAATTCCTTGCTGTTCAAACTGTCGAGTCTCTGTATTGCAGTTTTAGTTGACAAAGTACTTTAAGACTTTACATTTGGGCGTATTGTGGTTCCAACCTGCGACTGACACTGCAAACACCAGGCTTTTATTTTTGTATTAATTTCTCTCCAAAGTATTGGAGATTCCAACCAAATATTTAAGAATCTCTTTATTAATTGAAGAATCTTTTACTAAGAACTTAATAAAGAGATTCTTCATGATAAAGACATCACGGCTCAAACACCATGGCTTGCTCTGTGGCTGGATCGAGAGAAGTCGAGCCAACAGAAGTGAAATGCAAAGGTAAAAGTTTCCTGTTTACAGAATATGGAATAGAAGTTGACAGATGCATGATGTTTTTTTCTCTTTTGGAGCAGGAATGGACATTTACAACTTTTTCTTCAAAATCTTTGTTTCCTGAGTGGAGAAACGCAAACAAGGGAACACTTGGTATGATGCCTGCCTTATTCTCTTCTAATGTACAACCAAGAGTGGAGAAGCCACTCCTCTTATTCTTGCTATACTTTTCTCCTCTTGCTATTTCTATTGCTATCCAGAGTAGTGTTTGATACTGGTGTTGCTCCGAAATCCTAGTGGTTGACATTAATTTCAGTCAGTTCTCTAAACTGCATGATCTTCTGCATTCTGAATCTAAAGAATCAAGCATTGTGCAACTTAGCTTCGATTTTGAGTCACACATTGTTGGCAAATCTACATATTGTGATGCAATATTGACTGACTGTTTCTAATAATTGGTAAGCATTTATTTCAAACAAAAGAATATCAAAAAGGGCCTAACAGCAAGTGGCTTACAGATCTTGGGAGGTAAGAAAACTTGACTACCTTGAATTGGTGAGTTATAGGAAAAATATCTCAGAATAAACTCCTCAAAAACCAAGGATTTGGAGAAATTTCCTTTACAAAATTAACAATTTCCATTGAATCGGATTCAATCCAGATGGAGAGGAAATAGTGAGATAGCTGCTTTAAGGTCATGGAGAAGGGGGAGTGTTACCACCATCAACGGGTTAGAGGGGTAGTGATAAGAACATTTAGTCTCACATTGGTTGAGTAGGAGAACCAAGTGCTTATAAGCCTGTCGGGTTATTCTTATCCTTAGAGGTGTCTTTTGGGGCTCACGAGTCTATGGCAAAACCGTGCGGGCACGCCCAAAGCGGATAATTCCTCGTGAGCTTATGTGGTCGTACCAATAATGATCATATGTTGACTTATCGTACTGACACTAGAAAGAGGGTCATGAGCCCTTGGCTCCCGTGTGGAGGGAGCATTGATAAGGACATTTAGTCTCATATTGGTTGAAGAGTAGGGAAACCAAGGGCTTATAAGTTCGTCGTGTCATCCTTACTCTCAGAGACACGTTTTGGGACTCACAAGTCCCGAAAGGGCAAAATCGTGAGGGCACGCTCAAAGTGGACAATTCCTCGTGAGTCTATGGGGTCACACTAATGACGACCAAATGTTAACTTGTCAGGTAGTGGGGTCACACCAATGACAACCAAATGTTGACTTATCATGTAGTGTAGCGTCTGCTTCCCATCCATATTGATTGGTTCACCAGTTTGGGATTTGATGATAAAGCTTATACCTATAGGGAGATCAGCTATCATAAAAGAACCATTGAATTCAAGGCAAAAACTGAAGCTTATTTGCTTGGTACGTCTTTTTTATGTTCAACACCTCTTGTTTATGAGGAACCTGTGTAGCTTTATATGAGGAACATCTTTTTTCCCGTAAAATTTAGCTCATCCTCTTGTTTATGTTCAACACCTACAAACAAGTCATTGGTGAATAAAATCTTGGGTACACCACAAGACCATTAAAAGATCAAGTCAATTTCGAAGACATGCATGTAACTTGCTCATGTTTCATTTTATTTATTATTTTGCTACTGGTTAAATCAGTGGAGATATGCACTCTTTAGGAAGATTAAATAGAACCATAAGAGGAGTGAAAGAAACGTCTATAGTATGACGTCGTAGTGGTTAACATAATATTATGCAGTTGATAGAATTCCGATTCCAGTCCATATAAAAACATTTTGTATGGAGTCTAATATAATAAGAGATGAATTAGTTCTTGTAAAAAAAAATAGAGGGAAAGAAGTTCTTGATAGAATTCAGATTCAAGTCCATACAAACACATTTTGTATGGAGTCTAATATAATAAGAGATGAATTAGATCTTGGAAAAAGAAAGAGGGAAAGAAGTTCTTGATAGAATTCAGATTCAAGTCCATATAAAAACATTTTGTATGGAATCTAATATAATAAGAGATGAATTAGTTCTTGGAAAAAGAAATAGAGGGAAAGAAGAAAATAATAGATGATATGATGTCGGAATAAAAGGAAAATTTGGAAGTATAGGATTAGCCAATACTAAATTTCAGATCATTTTCAAAGTAGAACAAGCAACAGGATAAAATTTTAAGTCCATTAAATCTAATAGTCAACCTAGCCAGATGCTCAATTAGTTGTCTGGGTGGGCAAGTTGAACCAGACACGGCTCAGGCTCTCGCTCAGGCCCAAGCGCCAGGAGGAACAAGTGCCCTGTCAAGCTCTTGTCGTTGCGGGGTTTTTCTCGATGAACAACGACAATGATATCTCTTGTTAGGCTTCTTCCCCTTATGATGTCTCTCTTTCTCTCTTTTTCTTCCTCCTTTATCATTGTGCACTTCCTTCTTTCTCGGTCATCGCAGCCCCCACATACCCCACTTGCCCCCACCCCTCCTCCCTCTTCCGATATCTAAATGAGACTATTGTTCAAAAAAGTTGCACTTGGAGGAGGAAAGAAGGATCTTCCAGTGCTGTTTTGTGATGGAGATTTAAATTTCTCTTTCATCATTAGTGAATTCACCTTGAGAGGGTGAAATATTGATATAAGTGATAATTTGCTAAATCATTTTATCAACTTTGTTCAGGTAAGGGTCTATTCACTTTTTTTTTGTAACTTTGATGAACTTTGCAAGCTTTATGTTGGTTTCTAGAAGTAGTCTTGAATCAGCTACATAATGCCTGAATTTTGTCAATTTTTAGTCAGGGCCAAGTTGTTTATTTAAGATGCCATGATGGAACATTTGATTGTATAGATATTTTTTGTCCAAGTTTTCTTTTACCTGGCATATTTGGAGGTTCATATTTGGAAGGTTGATTATATTGTGAACATTCTCCCTCCCTATGTACCAAAGATCTTAATTGGTTTTTTTCTTTTAACCCCATCCCATATCTATGTGGTGATTATCAAAGATTGGGCTTCTGACATCGATAAAATATAATATATAATTTTGTCACATCAGTATTTTAGTTCTTATACTATTAATGACTTTGATGCCCAGTTACCAGTTATCTTAGCTTTTTGCTGCTGCTAATTTTTTTTAAGACAGTTGTCATTTTTTTTCGGATCTAAATGGAAGATAGATCTTAGTTGACTTTGTTGTTTTTTTCTCAAAATTTAATGCTACTCTGTGCAAATATGATAAAATTCATTTTTATTGGCACATTACTTTAAACAACAATCTAAAAGCAAAATGCAGGACTGTGAGGTGGAATGTGTCTCTTAGTGATGCACTTTGTGGAAAATTGACTTTAATGGACAACATGGAGTAATTACATGAGGATAGAATGGAGATTATATATGAATTGCATTCCGCATATGGTTATCCTTTGTCCATATTAATTGTGAAAGAAATTATTACTCATGTTGTGTTGTTGGAATATTTCAAAGAGCATGCAGAAAGTGCCTGTGCTCCCTAAGTTGGCTGAGACATCGGCTCATGGCTCTATGGTTGGTATGACGCCGAGTCGTAGAGGCATGTGGGAAGGGTAAGTTCTGAATTTTTTGAAGAAAATCTCATATGCATTTCTTTTGTGGTGGTTAAGACTGATGACTGCATATGTTACTCTAATTCACTTTTTTTATTTTTTATCCGTAGTTATTTGTTGCAAGTGATCCTTGTTGTTTCATGTTCTCATGGTCCATTTGTCGATCATACATCCTAAAATGGCTATATTCATCCGTTGAATTTCAATGTGACATGTTTTAAGAAAATTCCTAATCAAGGCATAAATCTATATTTTGTCTTCAATCTAGAAAATTTTACAGAGTGCTATAAGTCTCTCGTGCATGCTTATATTCTTTGTTTATATTCTGCAACTTGTTTATCCTTCCTAAAAACGTTGGCTGTGCACTTATTGCCAACTGAGTTGCACACTCATCTATTTCTTTCTAGATTAAAGTAAAACACTAATCAGGCAGATGAAGTGCATCAAAGTTGCTAGTCATCAGTAGTTGTCGGCATGGCTTTATCTATCATACAAGTAAGACACATGCTAAAGAGAAATCCAAATTTGAATCACTAATTTTGATGTGGTTTCTTATTTAGTTTTATCTCTAGTTGGTTTGCATATAACATACTTGTTCATTATGTTATGGTTGAACTAAACCTAGAACTATTTGTTCCTTAACAAGCACTAGATTAAATTGAAGCCAATGCACAAGAACAGAAGAACTGCATAGATCTGATGCAGAATAGGCGTCCACATCTTACAATTGTAATGCATTAGTAATCCATAGAAACAAGACGACAAAACGTCACTGTTGTCTCATCTTAACCATTTGCCTTGCTTTCTACTATTCTTTCCACAACCAGTATGTAAAACACATGATCACCTATGTCAGTCGTTCTTTTGCACTGATTCTGACATCCATGCCTAATTGCTACTTACCCTCTGGAAAATCTTGATCAAGAATCAAGATTTTAGAAACCCTCTGGTATCAAACTCTGTTTACTAAAAGGTACCCTTTATGTACAAATCTTAATATTCTTGTTAATGGAGCGAAGTATCTTGAGCAAGAAAACATAAGAATCTAAGTAGTAGTTGTAGGAGGAGGAGGAACACCACCGACTAACCTCGCTCCCAGCAGCGCAAGTACGTCGCCCTGCGTTCAATCTCTGGCAGGGATGTCGTCCGGAGTAGCAGTGACGGGGTCGACGTCCGTCGTCTTGGAGGCCGCTTCCGCTTCTTCCCTCGCACTC